ATTAATGTACCTTGTGTTTGTTAATAGCATTGTGATGGTTTTTGGTTTGAACTCGAGGACCCTATGGTAGAGTTAAGTCCTTTATGGACTCGGTATGCTTGGTGATCTTATCCCGAGAGTACTTGTGTCTCTATTATTTGTATTGTCTTTGTGATTATACTTGTAATGATCTGGCAATGATGATTCCGCGGTTCCGTGAATTGTCAAGTGCACTACCTTGGGCAGAAGGTGGAGATTGTGTTGGGTGTGTTTCGGAAAATTAAGAAAATTAATTAAAATAAATTAATTAAAATGACTAAAGAAAAACAAGAAATGAGATGGAGCAGAATTTAGCCAAAGCTCGTGCTACGCACGATGTCCTTAAAACGTATTTGTCGCCTCCCACAATGTTAGGAGCGTTGCAACAATCGTTTCCCAGGATACGATGACTACGAACTAATGTTTGAGAACACAAACACGAGTTTCAGCGAACGAGAACAAAGTCTGAACACTCAGGAAATATTCAGAGTGACTGGAGGTGTTTTTAGAGCTGAGAAATACGTGAGGAATGTGTATTAGCGTGTAAGAACATGTAAAAACGTGTGTTGTTGCGAACCACCTGTCAGCCTTTATATATGAGGATTTGTTGTTGTGTAAATGGTGAATTAATGGACCTGAACGTTGGACATCAATGACGAGTCCGTTAGGCATTGTAACAGAACCCCAACGAGATGTTCTGTTCCGTTTGTGTCTGCAGGTCGCCCGCGCACGCAAGTCACAGTTTTTTTCTCCGATTTCGGGATTTTATTTGCACCCCCTTCCCCCCGCGCGCAAGAGAAAGCCTTTACCCTAAGGAATCTTAACTCCTTAGAGGGGGTTTCCCTTTATAAAGGGTTGTAAATCCCTTGGGTTTTCCGGTCTGGGAAATAACACACTAGGAACCCATCCTTTTTCCCAGTTTTTCCATTCTAACGGGTAAACTTCGAGAATCAATTTCTCATTCACCCGTTATCCGTTTTGAGTGTACCATATATCGAATTGTAGCCCTAAACAAGGACAATCCGAAACCACTTTGACCCGACCCAAATCACAAGTGGACCCCACTCAAAAAATTGCCCCAAAATTACCATTTAATGCAATTTTCACACATTTTTCCAACAGATCGTTAATATATTATTGGCCCAATTGGTCTATGTATATTAATAATAGTTGACACCCTATTTTAGCAGCCCGCTACAGATTCAATTCTATTCTTTGCATCCGCCCGTTGTATGCCTACTCAGCTTTCTCATTAGAATTCAAATTGTGAGGTGTGTGTTAGTGCAGGCCTGTTGGAATAGTCCAACTTGCTTGAGCTGTTGCCATGTATTATTGTATGTCCGTCCAATCCTTGGGCTAATATGCCAAAACTCTCTCCTGTATACATATGGGCAGACCTGCACCCTTCTTGCTAAGCCAGAAGTTTCATCCGTTATCTTTTTTCTTCTTGGCCGAGAGAGAGTGCTTCAATGAGGCAATTCTCCTCCTCCTCCTCCTCCTCCTCCTCCTTTGTGAGGCTAGAAATGTGAGTGCAGGCGTGGCTATTCAGGGAAGTTGCTCCCTTAGCTTAGGAGTGCACAAGAGACAATCGGAATCGACCTCCGGACTGCTTGAGCCAGAATCCGGTGACGGAATCGATCCTATACACTATTTCTCTGCCATCGCTTTCTTCTTTAGATTTAAGTATATGTTTGCATGTCATCCGCCTCCTTTGATATACGTAGGTAGAAAGAATGTGTTTCCTTCTTCTTCTCTACCGCAATAAATGTTCCGTCTCTAGCGAGCCAATAAATATTCCTTTTTTATTTTATTTAAACTTTACGGAGAGTTATTTTTCTAAATTAATGCTAAAAAAAACTATTTACGAAATTGGGGTGTAGTAAAATCTAATTACCAATATACTGCTAGATCTGAATCATAGTTAACAAAAACTTCAAATGGAATGGACTTAGCTGCCAAACACGGAAAGCCCAAAGCTGCCAGGGAAAACTATAGTTGAGCAGGAGAGAAAAAGAGGTGGGAGACAAAAGATTAAAAAAAATCCCTTTTTCTTTAAAGAGGTTATATCTTTAAAAAGGAGAAAATAAGGCCATGTACTAACTAAAAAAAGGTCAAATAAAGCCTTATTTAGGAGGTTCTGCCCGACCGTCGCCATTTGGGGTGGTTCCCGATGGAATTTTTTGATGAAATTTTTTGATCATCTTATTCATTAAGTCTAGTTTACCCATACCAAATTTCAGCTAAAACTTCAATCGGGAAGACATTCATATGAATTCTTGAAGATAACTGCGAAGTTAAAAGAGCAGTTATCTTCAAGAATTCATTTGAATGTCTTCCCGATTAAATTGTTAGCTGAAATTTGGTATGAGTAAACTAGACTTAATGAATAAGATGATAAAAAAATTTCATCAAAAAATTCCATCGGGAACCACCCCAAATGGTGACGGCCAGACATGGCCTCCTAAATAAGGCCTTATTTGACCTTTTTTGGTTAGTATGTGGCCTTATTTGCCCCTTTTCTCTTTCCATTTTTACTCCAACTTTTTTAAAAATAATACCAATTTTTATAACTTTTTGAGATCTTTCATTTGACATCAATATTATATATATAAAGTTTAAAAAATCGGAAGACCACATGAGGGTAAAAAAATCAAAAGCCCGTTTGATAAAACTAAAATTTGCTGAATTGACTGATTCTGATTAAATTTAAGAAGGTGTCGTTAAACTGCTTGTATTGGATGATTTTGATGATTTATAGAAAGAAATAAAGGCTAAAATAAGACCCCTGAGTTTCCACTTTCCAAATGTGGGACCAATTTTTTATTGGACAAAAAAGATATTAACATAGGGAAGCAAGACTGCAAGAGACGGACCAAATTAAAGCCCTGCTCCATCTATCGCCATTTCAGTAACCTATGGAAGCAAGAGACGGACCACTTCCGACGCCGAAGACGGTGACCACCAGCGACGACCGCCAGCAACCAACCATAGAGAAGTCCATCGCACCACCATTGCTGGCCAATAACATCGCCGCCGCCGAAAGTATTATTGCCGCTTCCAAGGCCATTAAAATCGCCGCCGCAAAGGCCATTATTGCCGCCGTTGGTTTTTAATCGGACACTTGGATCTACTCTCTCCCCTTGTTCTTCTCCTTTCTTCTACCGGACGATTTCCAATCACTCAATCGATTGGCGGGGGCTGCTGGGAGGCAGTTAGGGCGGGTGGCGAGGGGAGCGGCGGGGGAAGGGGTTGGGAAGGGGCTATTAGGGGCTTATGAAGGGTGCTTGGGGTTGGAGGCCACTGATTGCTTGGGTAGGGCGTTGGATGGGGGCTCTTGGATGCAGGGGTTGAAGGGGGCTGGGGGGAAGATGCTACAGGGCTGCAGTGGTCTGGGTCAAGGTGCTGGAGGGGGTCTGTGGGTCGTTCGAGGCTGGGGGAGGGTGCTGGAGGGGGGGGGGGGCTGTGGAGAGGGTGTTGGAGGGGGTTGGGGAGGGGGCTGTTTGGTGATGGGTGGCGGTTGTCACCGCCGGGTGGTGGCAAAGACCCGTCGGATGGCAACGGTGGTCAATACGTTGGTCGGGGGAGGCGGTGTTCGGAGATGGTGGTGGTCTGGGCAACGGTGGTGGGGCGGCCGTGTCGGTGTTGAATTGGTCTTGGTCATTAATTTGGTTAGTCACTTGTCAGATTGGTCATGATCAGATTGGTTAGGGTCGGATTGGTCACAGGCGGTTTGGTCACGATCGGATTGGTCATGGTCGCATTGGTCATGATCGAATTGGTCATGATCAGATTGGTCATGATCGGTTTGGTCATGGTCGCATTGGTCATGACCGGATTGGTCATGATCAGATTGGTCATTGTCGCATTGGTCATGATCAGATTGGTCATAACCGGATTGATCACGGTCACTTTGATCATGATCAGATTGGTCATGATCAGATTGATCATGATCAGATTAGTCATGATCAGATTGGTCATGATCAGATTGGTCATGATCGGTTTGGTCATGGTCGCATTGGTCATGACCGGATTGGTCATGATCAGATTGGTCACTAGTGAATTGGTCATTACTCGAATTTGTCACTGATTAGGTTGGTCAATGGTCACTGTTCAACATATTCCATATATTGTAGTGTGTAAAGTATTGACTAGCGGAGGGCAGGGGCATACGGAACCTTTTTTAAATGTTATACACTAATGGTCTCTTTTTTGGGAAATATTAAAAGAGGTCCCTTTTTTGTCCAAACTCTTTTAAAAGGTATTATTCTTGACATAACCCCTTATAGAAATTGCCTCTTCTAGTAATATTATGGTAAATTTTCCCTAAAAACAAACTCAGGCGGAATCGTAAGAGCTAGGAACGGAGCCCAAGGGCAATGGAAGTCCGGCCAATACTTCCTCAACTCCTTCCTTCATGAATCGTGCGTAGCTAGAGAAGTCAGGTAGCAGATTAACATTTAGGACCCCTAACTTTTTCGTTTTTTTGTAAAGTTTTTTACGAACAAGTTTTCCATACAATTTCGTACATATGGGCCGTACGGATTATTTTTTCATTATTTTTGGCCGAGCCTCCTAGTTGGCTTAGGGGTAGGTTTTACTCTCTATAAATACAAGCTCTCCCTTTGTAATCCCTTGGATCCAAAAATAGTAATAATATTCCTGACTTGGTAGCGCCCCCAGACGTTGTTATTCGTGGCGAACTAAGTTACCAAATTTCGTGTATTCTTTAATTGTTCTTCGTGTGGGTGATTATTGCACGACTCTCTGGCCTTACATACGGCACGACTCTGCCGGTTGGATAGAATTGCTACCTCGATATTAACAAATGACACTTACATTTTCTATGTACTATGTAAATTCTATTCGTAGGAAATTGGATATGTTAATTTTGATCGTTACGTTATGCAATGGCAATTGGCAAATGTCAATGTGAGACTACAACTACTTACGTAAGAAGGGAGCAACTGAACAAGTATAAAAAGCTACATCAACTGATTAGAGTATATCATTAAGGTTTTTTACCATAATATTACTAAAAAAAACTTATTTACATAAATATGATTATTAATTACTAAAATGTAGTGTTGTGGTAACTTAAGTTCAAAAATTGAACATGAATTACTATGACTAGCTTTATTACTCCCTCCGCCCCTAAATAAACTTCTAACTTTCCCTTTTCGTCCGTCTAAATTAAAATTTCACTTTCCCTTTTTGGTAAAGAATTTGTGGTTCACAACAATTCTTAAACATTTATCTCTCCTCTGCACAACTCTCCACCACACAATATCCAATATCTTAAACTTGTGCCAAAACTATTTGAAAGTTTTATTAGGGATGGAGGGAATATTATTCTAATAACTATGTAAATCATCTTTATTTATGTCATATATCTATGTACTACGTAATTATTTCTATCATCAATACTATAATAAAAAGCTAAACATCCAATTAAATAAAAGGACGATTACAATCAATGTCTTGCACAAGATAGTATGAGGCCCCGTATCGTTAGCTGTATTCTGGCTCACGGAACAATTATACGGACACGGGTATTTGTCGATTATTTGAATGCTTTTTCGATCAAAGTACCAGTCTCCAAATAGTTTAGAGATTTTCTGTAAAATTTAAAGACGACATCACACCAATTCAGTCTACAATTGAACAATTCGTATGTAAAAGAACCAAAAAGTATAGAACATTCTTGCAATCTAAAGGAATTAAAACTTTAAAAGTACGTTGATCTAGAAAAAAAATTGATGGATGGACTCACTATTTTTTAGGAGTAAAAATATTGGTTTGGTTTAATCGGATCGTACCAAATCGAATTAAACCAAATCAAAATTGATCATATGCAATTTGTTTTAGGTTTGGTACTATTTCTTCCAATCCGTTTTAAATCGAACCGAACTCAAACCGATAAAAACCCCTAACACGAACTGAACTACATAAATTTAAAAAATATTCAAATATTATTAAAAAGTAACAAATCCAAACTAAACCAAATCGAACTCAACCGAACCAATCTGAAGAATAGTACTACCCCCGTCCCTTAAAACTTTGTCAAAGTTGATCAGCATGAAAAATAATAAATTAAAAACTGTGTGCTTGAGGTTTGTGCAGTGGAGATAGAAATAACAGAAACCACAAAATATTGATTAAAAGGGAAAGTGACAAAGTTTTCTGGAACGTCCAAAAAAGGAAAGATGACAAAGCTTTAAGGGATGAAGAGAGTATGATTTTTGATTGATAATAATTCTTCCAATTCAACCCGTTCCAAATTGAACCAAACCAAAACTGACAAGAACCAAACCAAAAACACATATATTCACCCCTACATTTTCTATAAATGCTCCGGAGTATATCGATCATATGAGTGACAATGGTCACTTTTTAAATAAATACTGAGTGAATGTTTTAATGAAATGAAATTTATGGTCTACGTCAATCTGATGTGATTTGTTTAATTAAGTCTGTAATAGTTTGAATTGGTCTAATCGATTTGTGTGTATTTTATTCTACATAAGTATGTAACTATCAAAGACTTATGTGTTTAAGTATAGTCTAATCTGTTTAAGTGCAATCTGATTTAGGATTGAAAAGAGTTGAAACAAAAAATCCATCCACCCGGTCACTCGGTGTCTCGGTCAATATAACAGTCAATACGGGTAAATAAGAAAAGGCACATCCGCACATCTAGTATAGTAGATACTATCAAACACTAACGTAAATATAGAGCATGTTTGGTAGCATGAAAATCGATTGATTTGACTGATTCTATTGAAATTTATGAAGTTCTGGTTGAAGTGGCTGCATTGACTGATTTTGCTGATTTATGATTTTTTTAAAATATATTTTATTATTAAAATAAAGAGAAAATTATGTGTAAAACAACTAAAATGGTCATCTACAGTAACGTCAGCCAATACAGCCAGAAAAGTAACTTAAACCTTACTTTTTCTGTTTATTACACATTTTAGTGCGCAAAAGCAAAAATTACGTGTTTTGTGAAAATGTTGGCTGATAAATCTGATAAGCTGAAAAATAATGTTGCCAAACGGCCTCTTAATGTACACATAACAAACATTGTAGTGCATTATATTGTTGTTTTCGTGCTCTCCAAAAAAATATTGTTGTTTTCGTGTAGTAATTATATATGAACATATACAATTTTGAACGTAACTGAAGATTTTTTTTATGATAAGTAATCATCTCAGGTGGAGCAAACTTAGGTATATATTAGTGCATCAAGTTGTATTATACTCTAAATTATGGATCGGAGTGGCATAATTTTTTGTCAATCAATTTCTAAAATTCTACATGTTTTCCTCCTATTTATTATCAACGATGATTAAGGTTTGGAAAATAAAAAGTGTTTAATTTATTAGCAAGGATGTTAAGGTTTGAAAAATAAAGGGAAAAGGGGCAAATAAGCCCTCGAACTAATCAAAAAAGTGCAAATAAGCCCTTTTGTAGGAGGTTTTGTCCGATCATCGTCATTTGGGGAGGTTCTCGGTGGAATTTTTTGATGAATTTTTTTGAGCATCTTCTTCATTAAGTCTAGTTTAGCCATACCGAATTTCAGCTAAAAATTCAACCGGGAAGGCACTCAAATGATTTTCGGAAATATACTGCGTTGTTTAACTGCGCAGTTATCTTCAAAAATTCATTATACTGCGTTGAATTTTTAGCTGAAATTCAGTAGGACTAAACTAGACTTAATGAATAAGATGCTCAAAAAATTTCATCAAAAAATTCCACCGTGAACCTTCCCAAATAACGATGACCGGACGGAACCTCCTACAAAAGGGCTTATTTGCACTTTTTTGATTAGTTCGAGGGCTTATTTGCCCCTTTTCCCAAAAATAAAATGTATTTAGTACTTTAATTCTTTGCAAAATAGAATATAGAAATAAAACATAAATAAATAAATGAAAAAGTAAATAAATAATTAAGTAAATAAATAAAAACATAAAAAAGTAAAAAAAATAAATGTTCCTTAAAAAAAAAGTAAAAAATAAATGATAAATAAATAAAGGGAGATTTACCTAAATGAGAGTGATTATATTCTTAATTGCCAAAATAGGATTAAAGTATAAAAATTCCCAAAATAGGAGTTATTATTTGTAGCCTGACAAAAATACCCAGAAGCTTGACAAACAGACTCCCACCGACAAAGAGCATGACCAGCTGCCTCCGGACACCTGCGGCCGCCTCCGGCCACCACCAGCCGCCACCCTCGGATGCCGTCTTCAGCCCCCGCAACCTCAAAGCTAGCCGCCGTTGCAGATGTGTTGGCCGCCATCATAGATCTGGCCGCCACCTTCCTAGATCGAAGCAGATCTGGCCTCTGTCGACCATCGACCGCCGACCCTGCAGATCCAGCCGCCGATCCGGCTTCTGCTACCACAGATCAGACGGACGCCACCACTGATGCCAAACTTTTGAACAGAATACCAACATAAATCGAGATTGCCATTTTAATGGCATTTTGTAAGAAAATACGAAATTTTTAAAGAGTAAAAATGCCAATATTAGGGCATTTTTAAAAAAATTGGAAATTGTAACAACCTAATTGAAAATCACGTTTGCATCCTTCAAGAGCAATTAAAAATTCCAAATAAGAAGAGAGAAAAAGAACTCGGAGCCTAGAATCACTGCATCACCACCACCCCAGATCCAGACGGGGAATTTGAAGAAACGGAGGAGTATGAGGAAGAGGAGATCTGGTGGTTGCCGCCGCCGCTCGCCGGCGCACGTTGCCGCCGATAGCCGGTGCACGTTGCTGCTTTCGCCGGGGCTTGCTGCTGCTCGTGGTTGAGGCCAGGCAATCTGGTGCGCACAAAGATGCGGCCAGGTTGAATTGAAATCAACGTGCGAATAAAATAACAGGTAGGGTACGTGTGAGATGGGTTTAAATGATTAGGGGTAAAATTGGAAGAAAAGTCCTATATAGGGAATTATACTACTCCTATTTTGGAATTTCAGCATTAATTTAGTCCTATTTGGAACTATTTACTGATAAATAAACAAAAAATAAATGTGGCTTATTGTGACCCAAATCTTAAACTAATACTCCGTCTACCACTATGAATCTATGATTCATTTAGAAAGTGTTAAAAATTCAATTATTTGCACGTACCTGGTCACTCCCGTCTACAACCATATCGCTGTTCCATCTATAATTGGACAGTTGTTCATGAGTTGTAGGGGAGGTAATCAAAATCCCTCTTGATGATGCATTGCTTAGTTTTGGCAACACGCTGAGAAATTCCAGTCTTAGATCTAAGTCATGAAAAATCAAACACAATTAGCATAAGATTTTTTTTATGATCAACGAAAAAATTATTAACTAAATATCGTATTTTTGTTTACACTCCTTTTGACTTATGTAAAGTCGGCGCATAAGATAAAAATATCGTATTAATTTGGTCATATTTTGGTGTATGAATTATGTAATTAATTAATACTCCTTTTGTCTTTTAAACAACTTCATGCTTTCTTTTTCTAAATGTCCTTAAATAAAGTTGTTTTTAATTTGATAAAAAATCTTATCAAATTATTTACGAAGTACTACCTTTAGATAATAATCGTACAATATCAAACTTTGTTATGTAGTGTCAAACAACTTCAAAATTGCACTCTCGCAGTACGTACGTAATACTACGTAATATCTACTCCCACTCAAAATTATTACAATGTATTTTATAATAATATCTACTCTTAGTAGTGAAGGTCAATTTTTTTTAAACCGTAGGGAAGGTCAAAATAAAAACTCTTTTAAATTTTAAGAGACAGGAGTATTTGTTCTTATTTCTTTATATATTAGTAACACGATTAAACATTCTTTTTTGGAAAAATTAGAAACATGTTGTCTTTATTTAACAAAATACAATTGTATATATAAAGAGCATCGCTAAGACAAAGTCACAAACCTTGCAATGCTTTAATAATGTCATCTGAGCAGTTCAGCAAAGTTAGACATTTTTTAATCGTATTATTTGCTGAAAAAGTCCATGTTACCTGAAAATTAATGTGTATCAATTATTAATAAGAGCATTCTGAACAGAAGTACATATGAAGAATTATACACACGAATAAATTGTGACCTGCACAGTATCAAATGCAGACATCAAAAAGAAGATAGGCGTCTTGATGTGTTGTTCCACATTTTGCGGGAAGAAACACTATAAAAGTTCACAAAAATCCATTATTTGTTACAAACAAGTTTTAGATGTATATACATGTGGATGTTGGATAAGTAGAAATTGAATTGAAAATGACTTTTTGATGCATTATGCTTTCATATTAAAATATGCCAATTCAATGATGCATGAAATATACTACGGATTACGTATTAATCACCAGGGACAGACCCAGGAAACCTATCTTGGGTTCAAAATAATTTTTGGGAGGCGGTAATTATTTTTTGAGGGAGCAAAAATTATTTTTCGTATTATATATACCCTAATTGTTAATCACGGAGTATTATAAAAAGTTGAGAGACTTTAGAGGAATATTAATCCATAATTATTAAAAGATTGTGACATTCAATAAGGTTGTTTTTACTTGGACCATAATTTGTTGGTCTAGTCTAGTCTGATTTGATCTGTTTAAGTCTTGTTTAGTCTAGTCTGAACTAGTCTGTTCCAGTCTGGTAAATGTCTGATTTCCGTGTACTTATAACTATGAAAGTCTGGTCTGATCTAATTTGTTTAAGCCTTAATTAATTCGATCTGATCTGTTTAAGTCTAGTCTGTGACTCAAAACATTCCAAATAAAAATATCCTAAATACAGCTGAGATTCCTTAATTATTTGAAAGAAAATGAGTCACTACGCTAATATAAATTACCAGATGCGGACTCATTCTTGATGTGCATTCTTCGGGCAAGGCCTTAATGGATCCCTGCTTCGTATAGTATAGAAAAGTGGGTTATTTTTAGATACCTCCCCTGAGGTTTGTATATTTGACACTTTGAGATAACTTATCCATATATTATTGAAGTGCCTCCTAGTCTATATATAATCCTATCACATCTCAAATACGGAGTAGATTAAAGTTAATAACTAAAAAATCCTAATCAAATGTCAATACTTATGCTGGAGGAGAACCAAAGCCTAAAAAGGAAAATACTCTATCTTATATTAATAAAAATGTCATATTTATTATTCAAAATATTGACAACAATAATCTCATTTTTTTCTTCGCTCACAATAATTCCGGCCACTTAAACATGAATTCAAAATAATCTCACCTTTGTTTATCTTTTTTCATTAGTCCCTAACCGGTTGATGATATGTTATTTCAGTTTTTTTAATTTTTCAGTAGAAAAATAACAAATGAAAAATCTCAATAATTTTCAACAAATTTTTCATAATAGTCTCTTCTACCATTTTTCGTTTCTTTCCCGAGAAGTTTTACGTTCTTTTTTATTCATTGATGCTTTTTTAATTAATCCTTTTTTGTTCTTGTTATTTTTATTTTTATTTTATATTCTTTTCTGTATTTATGTATTCTATTTCCATGCTATTAAAAAGTTTTTCGGAAAATCTCCAGCCTCCTCCTATAGTTTTTTGCCTTTTATTCTTCCCATATTTTTTTTTCATATTTTTTTTTATAAGAGATCGATCTTTTTCACACTTTACATTCTCCTATACTTTCTTTTATACTTTTACAAGTTTTTTCTCCTATTTCTTTTGTCTTTCCTTAACTCTATCATGCAGAAAAGGGAAGAAATATATCAATGGTAGAATTACAGCGAGGAAAGAATAAGAAAAAGGATAAAAAAAACAAGTGAAAGTTAAAAGAAAATATAGCAAAGGTAGTGCCAAAACATCTTTAAGAAAAGGAACAAGTTGAAAAGAAATACATAAAAAGGGAAATGAAATAAAAGTACAGGGAGAAAAAAACTAAAAAAACTAAAAAAGTATGGGAGGAGAAAATTTTACAAAAAGACTCTTCTAATAGAGTGGAATAAACATGGAAAATAAATAAAAACAAGAAGGTGAACAGTTTAAAAAAGATGTCGAGAAATAAAAAGAAAGAATAAACTTTTAAAGTGAAAAGTGAAAAATGATACTTGTTCTGTTCTTTTTTAGTTACAGCATGTTGAATTTTACATTATTCTCATATTCTACTTTGACTATGTTTTATCTATTAATGTATTATGAATTTAATTATTGAAAATATTGTTCCATTTATCTAATTTAAATGGCCAAAATCTGTTTCTATTAATTTTTTATAATAAGAAATAAAATATATTAATGGTCAAACTTTTAATGGACAAATGTGAAAATTGGAACCTTGCAACTAAAAAACAACGATGGAACTATGGAAGTATATGAGACTATCTTGAGATCGAAAATCGATGAAAGTTAAAATTATCTGTTCAATATTTTCTAAACAAAAGGTAATTATAAACACTAGAACAATAGATCAGTAGTATCTAGGCGGGTATTAATGAAAGAAGACGAGGTGCAAAGGTATAGTTATTTTGATATTATGTGTAGATCGGATTATTTTTGAGTACGGGTAAAATGTGATATTATTATTTTTAATTTCTTCAACAATAAATACTATACCATCCCAAATTACTTAGCCATCTTTAAAAGTTTGAGAACCTATATATCTTTATTGAAAATGATTTACAATATAAAAATGATACGCATAATGAAAATGTTCCTTGTTAAAAGTACACTCATAAAAGTATAAAATTTATAAGTTCCATAATATTGTACTAATCAAAGTCATGGTCCAAATTTTAGGATTGACTAAATATTTCTGGACAATGGTAGTACTATATACGTAGTACTACCTCCGTCCCACTAAGATTGTGACAAGAGAAGGTGGCACGATTACTAAGAAAAGTGGGTTTGTGTGGTTGATATTAAATGGATAAAGTAAGAATAAAGTAAAATGATTTAGAACCACACAAACTTTACCAAATTTAGTATGAGACAATCTTAGTGGGATTTCCCGAAATGGTAAAATGAGACAATCTTAGCAGGACGGAAGGAGTATTAATCAATGTAAGATACTCATTAGTCCCCTTTTTAAACATTGGTTCTCTTACCCAACATAACTACGAAGTATTTACATTTGGTTAACATAGAATACTTTTTAATTATTTCCTTTAACCCATTTTAGATGTTTACATTTGGTTAACATAGAATACTTTTTAATTATTTCCTTTAACCCATTTTAGATGTGATAGGATTAGAGAGTAGGGGCACTTCAATAATACATCAATAACTTGCATCAAAGTGTCAAATACTCATACATTAGAAAAGTATTACTGACAATATCCAGAAATAAATATCCAAGGGACTTTACTGATATCTATACGAGTATATATAGTTTAATAAATACGGAGTAAATGCTTTCCACTAAAAGATCAACATGAAATGGACACAACTTGTAATTCAAAGTTAAGTTGTAAATGAAATCAAATTCATTAAAGGTTTAAAAAGGACAGTATGTGGCATTACGTACATGTGCCATCAATCCTTGAAAGGTTTGTGTGAAGATTTCTCCCCGTGCAAACTTTTTTCTGCAAAAAATTATGCACACCCATACAATTTTCAAAACTCGATCATGCAAGAATGAAGAGTCTAGCTATAATATATTTGAATTGAGTCAAAATTTCATATTCGATTCCTTATTAATTAACATTATTCAAAAAACAACAAGAAGATTCTTCAAAAAAAAACAAGAAGAAATATACGCATATGAACTTACGAAGGGAAAAAATAACCGGCATCGGAAAAACATTTTACTCTAGTAGCGTGGGGCAAAAGATCACGAAATCCGTCACAATGGAGGGAAACTGCCACTCCTCCCGCCGAACCACCTACTAAGAGAGCCTAAATAATACGGATCAGAGTATATAAATAGGTTAGTAAAGCAAACAAAATTACAAACCCCGTCCTAGATTAATGACATCATTGGTAGAACACCATAAAACACGCAATGCATAAATAATTAGTTTTCATGTCATCGGTCTTCATATCCAATCCGCAAATTAAAGCTTTACCCACATTGTGATTTGTGAATTGGTAATAGAGATTTATTTATGACTAGTTACTAGTTAGGAATTATGATGTTTTTAGTTGAACTGATTTGAGTCCCATACTAGACTTAAACAGACCATATCAAACCAGATTATATCAAATTTAAGGATGTTTTCTTTTGGACTGTTTTCAGTCCCAGACCAGACCAGACCAGACTTAAACAGACCAGACCAGACCAGACCAGACTTAAACAGACCAGACCAGACCAGACTTAAACAGACCAGACCAGACCAGACCAGACCAGACTTCCGTAGTTATAAAATACACAGAGACCAGACGTTTACCAGACCAGACCAGACCAGTTCAGACCAGACCAGACCGGACCAGACTTAAACAGACCAGACCAGACCAGACTTAAACAGACCAGACCAGACCAGAACAACAAATTTCAGTCCAAAAGAAAACATCCTAAATTGACCAGATCAGACCAGACAAAATTTAAACCGACCGGATCGGATTAGACCAGACTTCCATAGGTATAAAATACATTGAGATCAGACGTTTACCAGACCAGACTAGACCAACAAATTACAGTCCAAGTAAAAACATTCTTATCCCATATTTGGCGTGAATAAAACAAAGCGAAAATTCGAATTGAAACTAGTCAAAAATCGACCAAAACGAAAACCGAACTAACCAAATTCGAATCGACCAAAACCGAAACTGACTAATCCGATGGCAATTCGATTTACCAATCATTTTTTGGATTAAAAACCGAATCCAAATAAAATTCGATCGACAAAAACCAACCCAAATATGCTAAAACCGATTACAACCGATGCAAATTAATTGAAACGGACTCAAGTTTTCCAGTCCGATTTTAAATTTCATCTATTCTAATATAGTGGGACTGAACCGAGTGACCATAAATACTGAACATATTATGAAAAAAATTGAATTGGCCAAATACTGAACGGACGACGAACATATTAATGCCACTACAAAGAATTTGTAAAATATAAACAATTTTAATATTTGGGATCGGCCGTGGCCCGGTTGGCCACACCTCCGTCCGTGTTTGCAATATTACACTTGATCTTAGCCAAAAAGCTGAGAAAGGAATATTTTTTTAAACCGCCGAGAAAGGAATTTAAACACCCCACGTACACTTTAAATAATTTAAATAATTTAAATATTCCACACTTTAATAAGGTGCGAGATAAGTACCCGAAACTTGCAATATAATATGTATACTTCAAACTTTTTATAAAAAGTTATTTTCACCCTATGATTGTATTTTTATAAATACAAACTTAATAGAATAATTATATAATTTAAAATATTCTAAACATTGTTAGAATGTAGTAAACATTCTACAATTCTTTTTTGAAATAAATAATATTACAACTAGCACAATTTAATTTTAATTACACCCTCATAAATGTTTTGCGTATTTTAAATTATGTACTTAACACCATAAAATAACATTTGTGAAAAACAATATATGATCATGATACTAACATTACGTCTTACATAAACTTTGGGATATATGTACATATACTATCATCCGTTTTTTTAATCGCAACATGTTGAATTTTACACTATTCACATGTTCTACTTTAAATACATTTTACACTATTAATTTATGAATTTTTTTAAAAATATTCTTTCAATTCATCTGATTACAAATTTTAAAAATCTGATTTTTAATTTTTTTTACTAATAGAAAATAAGATTTATATACGGTCAAAGATGTGTGTTGACAAATGTGAAATTTTGACCGTTACAACTAAAATAGAACAGAGAAAGTATTACATTTCGAAGTTAGAGGTACTTATCTCACGCCCTTTCAAAACTTAGGGTATTTGAAATATTTTTTCCATAATAAAATTAAATGTCAAATGCTTACATTTTTTGCCGTTCTCATTTCCAGTTTGTGAAGCAATTCTTGCATCACTGCTTTGTAAATCCGTAGGCCTCTAAAGTAGAGCTTGGTGCCCTGCATTAAAAAAAATACGCTATCAAGTACGTTTGTACGGAGTAATCAAGAATTTGACATGACCAAGCTAAGTGTAATACTTTTTCCGTAATTATATCTTAATCTCTATTAGTAAAAAATAATTAAAAAACAGATTTTAAAAATTTGTAATGAGATGGATTGAACAATATTTTTTTTAAAAAATAATTTTCGTAAAATAATACCATAAAATGTAGTCAAAGTAGATTATGTGAATAATGTAAAATTCAACATGTTGCGATTAAAAAAACGGAGGATAGTACTCCGTAATTCCGTATAATACAATGTATAGCTGTATACAAGTATACAACAACAATAACAATATGAATATATAATGGTAGTCCTCATTAATAATATTAATAATAGTATAACGTATATATAAGTAATGTATGTACTGTACATTGTACTCGTAAACTCTTTCAGAGTCAGATGTGAAAGAAGAACCATCGCAGTATCGAATCACGACTCTATTCCAGTTGAAGAAATCTGTTAATTCAAAGTTCTCACGACATAAATTGTTACACACAATTAAATAACATGGATGACTGAAAATTAATTAGATTAACTCAATTTTACGATAGTATATACGTTTCTCGATCTTCTTATGTAACTGCAAAGTTTCTTACCAAAAAATATAGTTACAACCTTTTACATACGTTCACATTTACTAACGAATTAGAGTTACTATGAATATACACTATTTAATCCTACATCCATAGTGATCCATCCCGCCTAAAGGTTTCCAATGTATAATAACTCGATTATTTAGACATTAACTAATAAAGTTATTGAAGTATATATTTTGAGAAATAGTTTTGATGAGAATATAATATAATGAGGTCATGAATGATAACTATAATAATGTTATATACTATGTATGTATTATTTTTTATATTTTATTATTAAATGGTCATTAAAGGTTTTAATTGTTTCCAAAAACAGAAATGAAAACATTTATATATGGGATATCCAAAGAGGAAAAGTGAAAAATCTTAAAATGAGACAGAAAGAGTAGTAATTATTGAAAGTGTTTAAAATATTTTCAAAAATTGTACGTGACCAATTCGACCATATTTTTAATAATTTGCTTTGTAATGAATTGATAAATAAAATATGTTCAGAATATACTATAATCATTATAGATTGTGGGAGTAGTATAATAGTTAATTTATAATCACTAATAAAAGTAGCATAATTATTCGTCACACAAAAAAAAAACAAAAAAAAAAACTCAAAAAAAAAAAATAATTACCTGGATTAACCTCTTTTTTGTTGCTCAATATGTCTTTAAAGGAATATGGAATAGGATCTAGAGTAAGATTTTTTAGCTGCGCATATGCGGTGGCACAATACTCAACATTGTTGCACCACGCTCCCCCCTAGCAATACATACGGCCAAATACTTATAAGTTTTAACTTCTTGGTTATATATGTAACTTATCTTTTTTTATTAGTCATATACTTATAAGTTATAACTTCATGGTTATAATTTATTTTTTTAAGTGAGGCTACCATAGGTTACATTTACCTGAAGATACACAAGCCAATTGCGCACTCCACTGCCAAATCCGTGGTCGAAGTAATATGCAGCTGGCTTTCCCGTCAAGCAAACTGGAAATAACGTTTAATTCATTAGTATTCAAAAGTTGTGTTACCTTTAGATGTCCATGCAGATATATACGTGAATGAGGAAAAAACCACTACTGAGAAAACATATACCAGTATTATTGTATTAATATAATTAAATAAACTTAATTATCAAACATTACGTGCTCCAGGATCGCTCTTCACAAGAGTGGCATTCACAAAGTAATCATCCACATCGCCAGCTGAAAAGATGAAATTTGTTAAGGTTAATATATCATGAAAAAAATCAAGTAGTCATACTTCCTCAGTCAGATTGTTTCATCTTTCCTTTAAGATTGTTTCATCTTTCCTTTTCGTTCCGTCACTAAGTCTGTCCCATATCAAATACGGTAAAATTTTTGTGATTTTAAATCATTCGTAATTTATTATTACTTTATTAATTCAACATTCATCACATGAACTCACTTTTCTTAGTAACCACAAATTAAACTATCTCTCCATGTCTCAATATTAGTGGGAAGAAGGTAGTACCAGTTAGTAACAAAATTCCAAAATTACCTGAAAAGGATCAACTAAAAAGATATATCTCGTATATTAATATGGTAGAATTGTAAGCAGAATAGTTACCTTCGCATTTGGTGAGGAGAATACAAACAATGAACAGTGACGGTAATATTGTATAGAGAGGCATTTTCATTTTTCAACCACACTTTTCAAAGGATAGAAAACTAGCCACAGGCTGATTTGAGCAGAGCTGAGGGATCGAATGAGATATGTATACACGAATGCTATGAAAAATGTGATGGAGTAGTAGTATATATAGGGAAGACCCATTATATATCATGGAGCATGGAGGATGGCTATTACCTCATAACAACACTACATGCATGCCGTATCTAATTAAGAGGGTCGCTATCATCTCTGAATAATTCGTACGCATGTGTCATGCTGGCCTGAAAGTCTAAAGTATGAATTCAAGCTAAGGCAAGTAAGTTAAGAGGGCCCGCACTTGGCAGATATTAAAATTTGGACAAATTGTACACAATTAAGTATGAATTGAACCATTGAAGGCAAGTAAATAAATGAAAGGTCACCATTTACAACTTGCTGATACACAACTTTGACCATTAATATAAATTATTTTGTATTAGTAAAAAAATGAAAAAATAAATAAATTATGAAAATGTACAATGAGACAAGTTTAACAATTGATCATTTCTTTCAAACATGAGAATACTGCCACTAATTTCTTTACCCTTTTGAAAAGTAGTTTAGTTGGCAGATATAAGATTAGGAATAATAGTGGTGAGTCTAGAAGTTAAAATTTTTGTTAAAATTTTGCAAATGACTGATTGATCTGTAATTTAAGAATTGGGTAGCATTAGGTTGTTTTGGAATAAGACAAATTAAAGTGTGACCAATAGCTCTAGGGATGGGGACCCCACAAATATACTCCTGAATGGCATTAAGGAGATCATGTTGAAAGAAATGGCATTAAGGAGATCATGTTCTATAATATGGTAGCAACTTTGGTAGAATTGACCATCAAAACCATCAACACCTGTGCAACTGTTTCCGTTAAGTGAGAAAATTAGGAGGTAACCGGGGCAATTAGGAGGCAATTATCCTGCTCAAAAACTGAGTTAGTGATCACCTCATTAATAAAAGAGGAAGCTGCAGGAGTGTGATTATAGTCAGAAGTGACAGTAAGAAGATTCTGAAAATACTTAATAGCTTCTTCATTAATGAGTTTCTCCTCCTCAATAGTGTTTCCATCGTCTTTCATAACTTTGCTAATGGAGAGTTTTTGATGTTTGGCTTTGAGAGTGAGATGAAAAAATGAAGTGTTTGCATCTCCCTCTTTTAGCCATTTGATTTTTGCCTTTTGCCTTAAAAAGTTTCTTTGAGGTGGAGGAGCCTTATGTGGTTAGCGTGAGCCTCTTTGAGAAGGATATGGTCAGTATCCGAAAGGTTTTTATTCAGATTGTCTTCTAATAAGGAAATTCTATGCTCAACCTCATTTATTTTGTCAAAAATATTACCAAAAGTTTCTTTATTCCAAACTCTGAGGTGCTGCTTTAATCTCTTAAGTTTTAAATAGAATTTTATCATGCCAAATTAAAGCCGTCACACAGAGTTCCAAGAGTCAGAAACTTCTTTTAAAAAGGATTTATGAGTAAGCCACATGTGCTGAAACTTAAAAGACTTTGCAGTAAAGGTTGGCTTGAATTCCTTAAACAGAAGAGGACTGTGGTCAGAAACAGTTTTTTGTAGTATGTGAACTTTAAAAATGTTTTTGAGTTGCATAAGCTCATCAGAGACCAGAACCCTATCAAGTTTCTTCATAACCAACCCATTTCTCTTTCTACCCATCCAAGTGAAAGGCCCTCCCTCCATATGAAAATCAATTAAGGCATTGGCGTGAATAAAATTATTAAATTCAGTGATGCTATAAGTACAAGGATTAGAGTTACCCTTGTATTCATGAGGCTGGGAAGTTGTATTGAAATCACCAGAAATAATCCAAGGGGCCCCGGGATAAGTAGTTCTGAGAATAGATTGCTCTTAAAGGTAACATGAGGGGGCATAATTTATTTTGATGTTTTATAAAAATCAATTTTTATAAGGATATAATAAAAATCATTTTAATACATTAATTAAATATAAAACTCTAAAAAACATTAAAAACTCTAGTTTTTTTAGAAAAAAAAGTTAAATGAATTTCGAAAAACAATTTAAAACAGTTTTTGTAAACTGTTTTAGAACAATTTAGAAAAACAGTTAAATGAATTTCGAAAAACAGTTTAAGAACAGTTTAGAACAGTTTTTTTAAACAGTTTTAGAACTGTGTTAAACTATTTTACCTTTTTTAGAAAAACAGTTAAACTCGTATATATAGGTTAAAACAGTTTTTTTTATTTTCATTTTTAATGAATTTCAAAAACAGTTAAATAATCTACTTTTTTATAAAAACAGTTATTAAACTAATAAAAATCTGTTTTTAACATTTAAAACTCCATTAAAAAAACAGTTTATGGTTAATAGTTATTAAACAGTTTATTTTTAGAAAAACAGTTTAATAATCTATTTTTTTAGAAAACAGTTTATGAATTAAACTGTTCATTAAAACAGTGTTTTTTTACCTATAGTTTTCGAATGAACAGTTTTTTAAACACTTTATTTTTAAAACAGTTTATTTTTAAACTTTTTAATAAACATTTTTTTTAAAACACTTTATTTTAAAACAGTTTATTAAAAAAGTTTACTATTTAACCCAATTTAATTTTGTAAAACAGTTAAACTAGTAATTTTTGTATTTAAATATAGAGTTATTAGAAAAACAGTTTAATTACAGTTTAAAAACAGTTTATTAAAAACTGTTCATAAAATTTTATAAACTTTACGAACTGTTTAAACACAATTTCGTAAAACAGTTTATTCTTTTATTAGAAAAACAGTTTAATATTTAACATTTAATATCAAAAAAAAAGTTTTTATTGTTATACATTGTAAAAAACTAATTAAACATGTTAATCTTTTGGCAAGTTTAACATGAGGGAGTCAATTTGTTTTTAAAATAATTCGGTAATATCTTTTAAACTATATCTATTGAATAATATATTGATATATTAAAAAATAATAATAGTCCTAATAGCCTAAAATAAATCCGAAAATATATTGAGCATGCTACATCATAAGTCCGAAACATGCATATTAAACATCAAACTAATTGTATAAACATGCATAAATCCGAAAATATATTGAGCATGGTTTAAACAAAAATGAATTCAGGTTTAAACATGGATAATTGACATATAAACAAAAAAACAAATTGTATCCATGAATATTATAAGCATTCAGATTAAACATCAAACTAAAAACAACAAAAAAAAACAATTTTTATAAAGATATACATTTTATTCGGGTATATTAAAATTAACAAGGTGACTATCAATTTTGAAAATTAAAGTAGCATGGATATTTTATTCAACAAATAGAACATGCATATTGAAATTTAAAGTAAACAATTAAGTATATACATCATGCATTCGGGTATATTAAAATAAATATAGCATGCATTTTTATTACAAATATAGCATGCATATTAAAATAAAAATTTAAAATATTTTTATATAAATATTTAATTGTAATAATACGAAAAAAGAAGAAGTTGAGAACATAACCTTGATGGCGAAAGGCGTCAGACGGCGGATTGCAGAGGCGGCGGTGGCGCAGGTCCCGGCGGTGTCGCTGGTCTCGGGTAGCTGCGGTGGCGCTGGTCTTAGGCGGCAGCGATAGTGTTGGAGCAGAGGGAGGTAGAAGGGAAAGAAGACAGAGGATTTGGAAACATAGTTAAAAAAACCTAAGTGTTGGTTATATATAATGGGTAGTCACGGCTATAGTCACGAATTTATCCGTGACTAAACCCTTCTTAATCAACTCAATCAGGCCGCGGAAGGCGAGGTGTCAGGGCCGCCATTGACCGGGCTAGTCACAGATGGATCTGTGACTAAGTCCGTGACTAATTCAAATTTTGAATTTAGTCACGGATGTAGTCACAGTTCCATCCGTGACTAGCCCGGTCAATGGCGGCCCTGACACCTTGCCTTCCGTGACTTAATAATGTATAAATAAGTGTTCTCCGGCCCAAGAATTGTGTGGAAAAAAATGGCTAATATAGAACCAATTGATTGGGATATGATGTGTAGAGGTATGCATCAAATTAAGCAAGTTACACAGCTCATGGAGCCGAAAAGTTTTGAGGCAGTGTAGAAAATCGGGGAGTTGATGGCTAGACCCCTTGAAAGCTTTGACGAAGACATTAAAGATGAGGAATCAGACTCAATCGGCAAGTCAAAAGCCAAAAATTTGTGTCGGATGCTTTGTCGTGCACAAGAATGTACAGAGTATATGGAACCGATAAACGCAGAAGCTCAAAGGAAAATTAGCGAGTTGTGGGCTAGGCCTGTTGAAAGTTTTGACATTGATGAATAAATCTGTGTTTGTTTGTTTCCTTATGATAAATCAATAATGTTAGTTAGTGTATTGTGAAAAAAATGTGTGCTCGTTGTTAGTTATTTCCTTTTGAAAATGTTTGTTTCCTTACGAATTTAAATTTAATAACTAAATTCGTGTTAGTTGTTTATTAAAATGTGAAATTATTATAATATTCAGATTATTAAAAGTAAATTAATTTTATTTTTGAAATTTTTAGAATTTTGTATTTTTGAATTATTTAAATTAATTTTCAAAATGTGAAATTATTATTGATAGAGTATATAGACTTGGACCCTCGGGTTTCATGACTATTGGGCCTGGACAACGGCCCACACACGCTTACCGGATCACATTTGTATTATTGCACAATTCATATATCATTTGTATGTACTATATTAGTCTTTTATGTAGTTGGGCCTATCGGAGCCATATTAGCGGCCTGGCCTGTTATTTCTCTATTTATACTCCTCTTGGAGCCTCTTGTAACCCTAAGTTCATAGTTCATAATTCATACACAATACACTTTCTACTATTCATCTTCTTCCTCACCTCTATTAGCTCTAAACGCTCCTATTAATTATTAATTTATTATCATTATTTTTTAAACAGTGTGTATTTTTTGACATTGAAAAATGGACTTATTCCGAGCACTCGCGTACACTGGCGGACTATTGAAGTCTCGCGCCACGGGTCACGACAAACGGGTGTGGCGATAAATAAGCTTCAAATCCAAATGTTATCTTATAAATACTCTAGGTTCTATGTTCTATATATACGAGTTATGTGTGCGCCCTAAAATTATTGAGTCATACTCTAGATTAGGCGCGTGTCACGCTCCAATTAAGCAGAGAAACATAATTTGAGCTCCAGCTTGAAAATTTGAGGCCATTTAATATAAGCCCAAATCCAATAGCGAATTACAAGCTCAAGAAATTATAATAATAATTTTATTTGAATGCATAGGTGCAATTAAATGATGACTTGGATTTCATATCGGTCTCTCGACCATACTCCTGGTCATCTTTATTTGATGACCCAGGCATCATTATGGACGGTCGCTCGACCTATCTCTAGGTCATCTTTATTTGATGACTAGGACTACCTATCATGTCGAGCCACGCACATTCTAGGACCGATCTTGGCCATCCCCTCAGCAGATGACGACGGTTGCAGTTCCACGCCTAGGCCGAAGGGTTCACCCCTTTTTGCTTGATTTTGGGGGCATCCGGTGTATTCTTTTTCCCTCATTAGGATTTTTCCCCACATGGTTTTTTCCTAATGAGGTTATTAACGAGGCATCTCCCCATTGTGGATCAAAAGGTGTCGACCCTCGCCCCCCTATTGAAGACATCATCACGAGACATGCATTATTCTACTCCTCTTCACCTCACTACATTCACCTAAAGGAGTGGGGGACTGGAAGAGCGTGGGACTTAGCGCATCCGTTAATCGAAGAAGCACAAATTAATTCAAATTTTTTCGCGAAGTTCACTCACTAGACGATGACAGATCAACACACAATTCTACTCGAGTACTCTCGACTCAGGGAGTGTGGGACTCCTGATAGAGTATATAGACTCAGACCCCCGTGTTTCACGACTATTGGGCCCGGACAGTGGTCCACACACGCTTACTGGATCACATTTGTATTATTATAGAGTTCATATATATATCATTTGTATGTACTATATTAGTCTTTTATGTAGTTGGGCCTATCGGGGCCATATTAGCGGCCCGACCTGTTATTTCTCTATTTATACTCCTCTTGACGGCTCTTGTAACCCTAAGTTCATAGTTCATAATTCATACACAATACACTTTCTACTATTCATCTTCTTCCTCACCTCTGTTAGCTCTAAACTCTCTTAATAATTATATGTTTGGATATCTATAATACTTCAATTATAATATTAAGATTATTATTCAAAATATTACGATGAAGAACAGAGCACGAATATTCAAAATGTGAATTTTAAATTTTTTTAAAATTTAGTATTTTATAATTAACTAACTTGTTTTTTAAAAGTAATTAATAATATGGAATTAATTAAATTTTGTATTTTTTAATTTTCGAATTATATTTTTAAAAGTAAATAATTTTGTATTTTAAATTAATTTTCAAATTTCAAATTTATAATATGGAATATAAAAAACTTGTTGTTGTAGAAGTAATATGGAGTAATTATGATTTCACAAATAACAATGATGAAGAAAAAATGCAAATATTCTTGGAGTAATAAAATGATGAAGAAAAGTGCACAAATATTCGAAGTCAAAAAAATTGAAATTACAACAACACAATTAGTCGCTATCAGAATCGTTATTTTCTACATATACAACATCATCTTCTTCTGTATCAGAACCGTCTATCAATTCCCCTTCTGCTCAGATGGAGGTGTTAGGTCCGGAAGGTGTGTTTCTGGCATGACTTCAACACGTCCGCCATTTGGATCACTTAACTGAATGTTACAGTTGACCGTGTCAATAATAGGCGGAGGTTGGAAAAATTGTTGCTGAAAAGCATCTAAATCAACGTCCTCGTGTTGAGTTTGTGGTACAATTTTGCTCGGACAGACAATACATGCACACAACCAAGGATTCTGTGTCCGCCTGGTTCAACAGTATTCTGCATAATAAACCTGGGCTGCTGGTTGAGCAAGTATAAAAGGCTCATTTTTCCCATACACGCGAAAGTGGTTGACGTTAATCATATTATACTTTGAATTTTTTCTCACACCACGTGTGGGATCGACCCATTTGCAGCGGAGCAAAACGCATGTCAATTATTGCGCAACAAAAGGCATTTCAAGTTCGAGAATCTCATGCAAGACACCAAAAAATTGGTTTCCGAGTTATCATAACCGATGGTTGGGACACATAACCCGCTTTTCATTGTTAATCGGCCCTGTCCATAAGGCATTTTTATATGGAATATAAAAAACTTGTTGTTGTAGAAGTAATATGGAGTAATTATGATTTCACAAATAATAATGATGAAGAAAAAATTGCAAATATTCTTGGACTAATAAAATGATGAAGAAAAGGGCACAAATATTCAAAGTCAAAAAATTGAAATTACAACAACACAATTAGCATGTGACTAGCCCGTGACTAGTTCGTGAAAAACTAGTCATGGACGGAATCCGTGACTAAAATCCGTGACTATTTGTAGTGTTTTATGCAATGAGTATTATCAAAACAAATCTTCAGAATAGGATAAATGTTGACTTTGTTATGAATTGCTTAGTGTGCAATATCGAAAGAAATATATTTCAAACAATTGATAATGAAGTTTATTATGTATTATTTTGAATATATGAAAATTCTCGTAGGGTTTACCTAAATTGCAGGAATGAGCCAAGTAATATGTAATGATTCAAAAGCCTAAGTTCACACTTCCTTTTTGTTTTTGAAAATGTTTTATTTATATACACCAACATATACTACACTCAATAAGTAAAGAGCCAACCACCTTAAATAGAAAAGTAATTGTCCTAAATAGGATTAAAACCTACATAGATAAATTAAAAAGCCAAACTAGAACTTGATATGCATGTTTTATTCCCAATATAGGAGTCATTCGATCCTATTACTAGTTTTTATGTTTTCTGCATAGTCTAAAAAGTCCCTGTGCATATCCTTGTCTCCGCCTCCAGTGTCCATCATCTTTTTCTGCACCATGCGCTTCTCCTGCAACTCCAACATTAATCCTCTAATTATCTGCAACTCAAAATCAATCCTTCTCTACGATTTCCAGTCCAGAATTCATGATTGTTCTACTACTTCTCTTCTATTTTGTGCCTCTCTTCCCTTTCCTCTCTTTCTCTTCACATCAGAACATTATCTTCCATATTCCTCTTCCCCGTCTGATTTCTTCTTCTTACTTTGTTTTGTAAAAAATGTCATCTTTGTTTTCAAATATCATGGAGATGACTTTGTTTTGTAAAAACATTTGCTTATATAAAAACATGCCAGTTGTTGAAAATGTCAAGCATATGTCATTTTTAGTGTTTGGAAATGTCATACATTGTCCTTAAAACGTAATAAAGGTGATGTAATTTAATGAACTCCCATTTTGATAAATAATGTAATGTAAAGACAGTGACATTTTTTTCAAGCCAGTGTTCAATAATATATACTCCGTAACAATTATGGCATTTTCAGGTTCAAATGGTGAGCAAAATGGTATAAACGATTAAAAGTGAATTAGATGGAATTTATTGAAAATGAAATATAATCCAAAAAGAGAAGAAAATAGATTAGCGGTGGAAGAAAGAAAATAAAGAAGATTGAAAGAAGAAGTGGCTAGCGTTGCAGAGGCATCCTTCAGCGCAAGCTTCAAAGTCACGAACGGAAGAAGAGTGGCTTTGCAGGGCAGTTTTGATATTTCATCTACTCCCTCCGGTTCATAATCTCCTTGACACTTTGACTTCACAAGTTTTAAGAAAATAAATTTGACTTTACTGTAGAGTACACTGTTTGGCATTGTTTGGACACTGTTTGGCATTGTTTGGCACTGTTTGGACACTGTTTGGCACTGTTTTATGTAGATTTATTTGCCAAATAAGGCAAATAAGGAAGTGTACAGAAGAATGTGGTACTGACAAAAAAGGAAAGTGTAAAGAAGAATGTGAACCGGAGGGAGTATATTATAGTCCTACGCTATTACACGGAAAAGTGATGGTCATAATATGGAGTTTTTCATAAGTTTTAGTCATTTTTAGGTAAATCTCTCTAAATAAAATACTTGACATCTATTTGCCTCTTCTATGTAAAAATATGTAATAAATACATTCGTCCATTGAATAGTTCATTATTATTACTAGTTGTAACAACAAGTTTTATTTTGTTACCTTGTAACATTAACATTGATAACGATTGAGGCGAGCTTACATAAACTATATTTATTGCAGAATTTAGCAAAAATATTGTTATAAATTCATGTGAAAGCGAAACCACGGAGTAACTTTATTGTATCGATTTATTGTCCTTGGTAGGCCAAGGGAAATAAAAATGCGAATCTACATCATCTCTTTCGTTTTATTGTTAGCATTTGGAAAAGCAAGGCTCTCATTATGTGATCTTACTCTTCAATGCTCCAAACCGGAACCAAATGATGAGTGTTGGAAGCTTATAATGCAATATATTCAAAATGATGGAAATGATGGGCGTGTTCCTCCAACAACATATCCTTTTCCCGATTGTTGCCCTGAGGTTAGAAATCTGGGAAAAGAATGCTTTTGGTATTGGGTGTATCATGAGAATGATAAAATGGCATATGGAGATTATGATATTACAGTAATCTACTTGAACATCATTGATACATGGAATCAATGCCAAGATAAGAGAAATCTTACAAACCTACAAAACATGTAATGAGACTTTGCAAATATATTACTCTATTAGTAAAATGTGCAATGTCATTTTTCAATATACTATTACCTCTGTCTCATTTTATGTGTCATGTTTTGTTTTTCCCTAGTTATTATTATCGAACTACGTAATAAAGTGGTTAAAAAAGAAAAAATTATAGTGTAGATTTAAGTATATTAAAATGAAATGATTTAGACCACATATACTTCTTTCTAAAAAAAGGAAATATGTGACCTATTTTGGACAATCCAAAATGAAAAATGCAATGAAGAGGAAGTACATAAATTGATTATAAATATTATAAATATAAATATAGTTTTTAAGAGAAAATTTCAGGGATCTGAATAAAAATATTTAATTTCCTTAAATATGACTACCTTTGTTTTAGACATTCATATGATTATTGAAAGTATAAAACAATCTCGTCACATTAAAAAGTTGAATAACGAAAATACCCTTATTTAAAATATGTGCATTTTGCACTACTTTCGTGCAAAATATAATTAAAAATATTTCATTTAATTAGCGAGTTATTGTACGACATTAATGCACATCCGGTAACAATCAAGGTACTTCCATGATGTAGGTGAGTTTTCTCGCACTTTAAAAGATTGTAGAATAGTGGTTGAAGTACGAGTATCGTCTCCATAGGGACGGACAAAATGGAAATAAGAATGAACTAAATTCAGCGATTAAAAAGAAATAAAATAAATGTGATGTGCGAGATTGGTTGGTTGAATTAAAATTAAATTAATGCGAATGAGCGATTAAATAAAAGATTGGGTTCTTCTCAATTAATGATGAAGGGAACCGGGATTGATTCTGAGATAACCAGATTTCTGGCAGATCAGGCTTAATCACATAAAATTGGTTTAATTGAGCCTAGCTAATCATTACTAAGTTCTTACCGCTCTCGCGGGGTAGAGTATGTACAATAATTTAGGGGACCAGGTTGATCTCTCATGCGATAGGATCCTAAATTATTGCCAAGACGAGAGAGCTTACGTCCCCTTAATCCCTACTAATCTCTTAGCGAATGACTAAGTGTGTGAATGTGTCCTAGAATAAACTAGATCTCTCTTAATTTATTCTACATGCAATTGTAATTCTAGCGCGCGTTCTAGGTTACAAGAAATATCAGTTAAATTAATCAAACACAAATTAAACACAATTAAACCATTCATGCAATTAGTCCGACAAGAACCTAGCCATACATCATGATTAAGCCCTTCATCAATCCCAAATCTCTAATTAACCTACTCACAACTCATAATTGAATAATCAACAGAATGGGGATGAATAGAAATAATTGTCATTAATTAAAAAGAGTGAACTTACAAATAATCCCAGGGTTCTTGAAGAAAACGACGTAAAAACGCAAGTAAATTCGTCCCGAGGCCTCTCCATAATTTTCGTAACCCCAAAATAGGAGTATGGATGCCTTATTTATAGAAAACAGACAAATCTGGGCGAAATCGGGACTTCTGGGGGGCACGCTCGGTGCCCATGCTCGGAGAGCGTAGCGCTGAGCGTCCAGAGCCTATTTTCGCATTTTAGGGCCACGCTTGGCGAGCGGACCTGCACGTATGCTCGGCCGAGCGTGGACGGCAGTGGCTTGGCACCTGTTTCTTCTTCATGCACGGCGTGCCTATCTGCCAAGCACGATCGTGCCTGGCCTTTTCTCGTCCAATTTTGACAAAACTTCCTTCAGAAAAGTTGTTGATAGTGAAGTCCTCTATCCACCATAACTTGCAGAATTGGATTTGAATCGTCTAATCAAATGATATGAATAAAATGGTGGAAGGTTGCATTCTGAAATCTGAACGGCGATCATCTGACTTCGTTGTCTGTTTTCACTTTTCTCCTCTCATATTATTAGGACAATGTCTTCATATTATTTGTATCCCTTGAAGTTAGCTTTCATATGAAACATGAATCGTGTTGTTTGGATGTTTCTACAAAGCGATATGCTTGAACGATTGACCGAAGGTCGCCCTGATCGTCGCTTTTAAGCTCTATTTGTCTTATTTTGATCCCATAGCCAATCCTAGAGCTCTATTGTCATCAAATCTTTATCGTGAACTTCCCGGTGACCTCCAAATCTCTCATTTCACTCTCGAATGTCTCTCAACTCGTCCCGATTGCTTCTCAAGCGCCGATGCGAGAATCTAATTTCCTGATTTTGACTCCAAACAGCACAAAACTTGAACCAACGCCCGGTAAACATAACTTGAGCCAAAATACAGGCTTATCATTCCGCAACATAAGTTCTCTTCTCATCCAGTTTAAGAATCTATTAAGTGTAATTATCCTTAATGGGATTAAATGTAAACATAATTGTACAAATGGAAGTAAAATCTAAATCTTTTTTAAATAGGATTGCAAAATAATTTCGTGCCCTTAATACCCACAATCTAATATATTTAAATGATTGTCCCCCCAGCTCCCTTGAATAACTAGGAGAGTACGTTGGTGGCGGCAGTATCTATTCTGGAAATTTGTGTCGGCTTATAGCGGACGGTGACATGGAGCAAATCGACAGTGGATCAGCTCGGAGGCCTGAAGTCGGCAACGATGGGTGGTGGCTGAGGTTGTCGCTGGTGGCCGGTAGCCGGCGGCTATGGAAGTGGTTGGGGCTAGACATTCCAAAAGGCTGCTATAAGTATATTAGTTCAAGGGTCTATTTGACCCTTTAGTCTTTGCCCAAATAGACACTGTACCATTAGCCTTATTTAGGAATTTAGAACAATATCGTGCTATGTTTGAATTTAGCCTATGCTTTTTGCATTTCATGACAATATTACTCTTTATTATTGCACTAATAGTCATGATCATTGCACATCCTATCAATGTTGTAAGAGTATAAATGGTCTCTAAATCGGTACACAACACATTTCTTCAATGCAGTCATTCACTGCTCATGCACAACACTATCTAATGTCATATTAATTGCCCATACTCAACACAATTTTTTTTCAACATATACTATCTAATTCCATGTGATAAGTCCATACTTTAACACTCATTTCATGTGTGTTGGGAATGGTAGCCAATTTAATTTTCCTAACTTAAATGTAACACAAATCACTTAATTAGCTCTAGTCATTGTTTGACAGGGGATGAGGCGGGTGGGAAGGGGTTGGGGAGGTGGGAGGCGGATGGATAGGTGGATGACGGATAAGGGGTGGCTAGGGGGTTAGGGAGGGGTGAGGAGGTAGCAGGGGGATGGAGAGTCCAGTGGGGGTGGGGTAGTGGTGACCGGCAGGGTTCAGTGTTGGACCTTTTAACTAGTGCAATCACTAACTATAATTGATCATGTTTAGTAAATGTGCTCAAGTTGGGTAACTGTATATGGTTGGTTCTAGTAAGTGTAACTTGATGATTCTTATAATTATTGTAACCGCGATCACTCGAGTGAAAGTAACCGGTTGGGTCGGTTAACTAGATATGCCCGTATCTAGTAATTGTAACTGATCATATAAGGTTACTGTAACTGGTCGGATTGAGTAACTGCAATTGATTGATTGAGTTTAATAATTGCAACTGTTTATTAGATCGGGTAAAGTACTAGTATGGTTGGATAACTGGTCTAATAATTGTAGCTGGTCATATTGGATCACTGTAACTGATTTGTTTAGGTCGTTGGGGAGGGACATGTCACCACGGTCCACACCTAAACTCATTAGGGGTGATTTAGTAAGTTTAAATCTTATTAGTCACATTTTTGAAAATTTTAAAAAATGATCTCTTTTTTGTTTAAAAGATTCATAAAGTTCAGTCCATCTAAATATATAAAGTTTAATATACATAATCTTAGTCATGACAACGTACATTAAAAAGTAGTATACCACAGGTCCGCGTTCATTAATTTAAAACAATTTAACTTCTACGTCATATTCATATTCTATTTGACAAAAAATTCATAAATATTACTCTTCCATCTCTTGAAAATTTGCCAAATTTAATTGATATGAAGATTAAAGAAGTAAAAATTGTGTGATTGAAGTTTGACGAGTAATGCTCCTATTAGACGACTTGAGAGTTAGAGATTAGAGGAGAGGCAGGGAGGAGAGCTAGGGAGAGAAAGACTCAAACAAATTTGGATTAGAAGAATCAAAACTCATAAGAGTATATATGACTTTGTAGAGAGCAAAATGGATCGGAGGTCACACATTCGTGTGGACGAATGATCTCCTTTCTATTTTTCCTCTCTTGTTTTCTTTTACCGTTTATATTCATCATCTTTTTATGTTATTTTTATGTTTTATCATTTTATGCTCTTTTATCTGTTTATCTTTTATCTTAGCTTTCTCATATTGTTATGGTTTTGTTAGTTATGTTATATTTTTCTTTATCTTATCCATTTTATCTTATTTTCTTTCCCTTATCTCTCTTCTCTTTTTTTTGTACTGATATCATGGATTGATTTATGTTAGTCGACCCCAAATTTTTATGGGATAAAGACTTGGATGTTGTTGTTGTGGGGTTGTGTTTTGTGCAGAGGAAAAAGAAATAACTTAAAACATAATTTTTTTTACTTGAAAAGGATAGTAACAAAGTTATTGGGACATCCAAAAAACAAAAATATTAAGAGACGGAGTAGGTACTCTTTAAAATGTGATTGACAAAAATATTACTTGTACTTAGTAACTATTAACGGCTATAATTGTCTTTGAGATTTATATCATAATCACTAAATTTTAAGCTACTATGATGTAAATTTTGAACAAAATAGTAATCACTAATAGTTACAAAGTCACATGTTTGTCTATGACATTTTTATTAGTTTATTTAAGAAAAAACACATTCAATTTTGAATACATTTGTTATCTGCGAACAAATTATATATATTATGCGAAATATTATAATACGGAGTATTTGTTTGTTTGGATACAACTGTTGACAACTTTTTACAATTTTAATTAACAGAGCATTGCGCAATATATTAATTGCCAGTCATATGATAGCAAACGTATAGTATGTCAAAACAATATTCCAACAATTAATTAACAACAGAACAAGTATCAAGTACATAACATGATAAGAACATATCATCGATAATAATCATATTATAACAAGACAACCATCCAATTCAATAAAAGGATCAATAAAATTAATCCCTTGTTGAAGATAGCAGCTGGCACCGTATCATTATTACCGTTATTGTTGCTTACTGAACAATTATATGGACATGCATATTTGTGGATAATTTGAACGGCTTTTCGCTCAAAGTACCAGTCGCCAAATAGTTTAGAGATTTTCTGTACAGAATAAAAAGAAAGTCACAAAATAAAGTAATACGACGTACAATAATGGAAATTGAAGTAAATATGAAAAAAAAATCAATAATGGGAAGAATTTTCGTCAAACAATCTAGGATCCGGAGCCTCTACCTTACTTTAGAGTAAGGTAGAGTGTCTTGCTTCCTCCCGATCATCCAATCGACAATTCAACGGTTGGAGATCTTGGGCTCCACTTTTTCGCCGATCTCGAGGCCGTGTTGGGCGCTCCCATCCCGTCCGATGCGCAAGGCACCCTCCTAGTCGGGTAGAGGATTCCAATCCAACAATCTACGTAGTATGGTATAATAGATCCGTCACATTCTCAAATGTGCATTATCATCATGATTCATGCACTAACATGAAGTACTTATATACAGTGGTGGACCCAGAGATTTGTGAGAGCGGGACACACTTATAGACACTAGAGTTAGTCTATAATAAAAACTCTAAATTATACAGAATAGTTAATTACATATTAGGTGGTTCACTGCTGCAACTTTGGTAAATCAAGCTTACGAGTTTTTATATTCTGAAAATGTTGCATAATAGTTTCATTATTGATGCTTCTAAAAACATCTCTCTCGATGTAACACACCAAGCAATCCGTATGATAGTCATCTCCCATCTTATTGCGAAGATCTGTCTTGATAATATTCATCGCAGAGAAGGCTCTTTCAACGGTGACCGTTTCAACTGGTAACACTAAAGCCAACTCAATCAGACGTAAACCGTCCGCGTAAGGTTTTTTTTCCCGGAGAACTTCGACTTTTATCATTCTAGCCTTCCAAATGTTAGTGGGTTTTTAAACTTTTAATACTCCGTACTTTTAGTTGCCTGCACATTGGCTACTTTTTGCAATTTTAACTTCTTTGGTTACTTTTTGTTTTCAATTCTTAATTTTTTTTTTTGATAATTCTATATCTTTTATATTTTAATTCAACTAAAATTTCAATATTTTGTATTAATTTTTTTATTTATATAACCGTAACATTTTAGTATCTTAATTATCAAATACTGGTTATACTGGTATGAAGCCGGGGCACTCATTTTTATCCTAAGTACTACTAGTAAAATTCCGGGCTCGAAGCGGGACACGTGCCCCACCTAGCCCCCCTTAGGTCCTCCACTGCTTATATACTCCTTAAGGATGTTTTCTTTTGGACTGTTTTCAGTCCCAGACCAGACCAGACCAGACTTAAACAGACCAGACAAGACAAGACTTAAACAGACCAGACCAGACCAGACCAGACTTGGATAGTTATAAAATACACAGAGACCAGACCAGACCAGACCAGACCAGACCAGTTCAGACCAGACCAGACTAGACCAGACCAGATCAGACCAGACCAGACCAGCAAATTTCAGTCCAAAAGAAAACATCCTAAGTCCGTATATAACATGGCAAGTTCTACCGTATAGTGACATTTTTTTTAACTCGGTGTGACTTTGTTGCAATGTTACTATTCCTTACTCTAAAATAAACTAGTAAAGCAAAAGAACTTTTTGGGTAGTAAAAAAGGAGAAATTCCGAATAAAAAAATTTGAAATTATAAAATAGAACTATCATGTTGTTATTCTCTAAACATTAGTAGTTTCTGTCAAGTTTAGCATTATCAGATTTTAAGTATGACAATTTCTGCCAAGTTTTTTTCTAAACTTGACATAAAAATCTTAAAATTCTATTTTGAAATTTTAAAATGTCTTTACTTCATTCACGACAATTTCTAAAAGGAAAATTCTGAAGAAATTTGGATAGATGTATGTCACTACAAAAAAAAATTGCGATTGGCACGGAATTTGGCACGGACTTATCAATTGTTCGTGCCAAATAGCTTGTGCCAAAGTGTTTTTGGCACGGATTTGGCGTATCTCTGCCAAAATCCGTGCCAAAATCCCTGCCAATCCCATGTTTTTTTTGTAGTGCATAATTACTTCAAACATTTAGCTAGGTAATTATTTATATATACACACACTTTAGTTGTATATACTCCGTATATATATAAAAAGTATGTACTCCGTATTACGTATTTTATGGTTTGAATTAATTTAAAGATTGGCACGTACCTCGTCACTCCCGTCTACAACCATATCGTTGTTCCATCTATAATTGGACAGTTGTTCATGAGTTGTAGGGGAGGTAATCAAATCCCTCTTGATGATGCATGCTTAGTTTTGGCAACACGCTGAGAAATTCCAATCTTAGATCTGCGTGCAAAATCAAACACACTTGGTACAAGATTTCATAAAGTATTACCAAAAACTAATTATTGACAAAAAATATATATAGTATGTTAAGAACATTTAGGAAGCATGTGACATTTTGTCCAAGCTATATACGTAGTACTCCCTCTGTCCCTTTTTAAATGTCCCGTTTTACCATATTGGGATATCCCTATTTAAATGTCTCATACCTTATTTGGTAAAGTTTGTGTGGCTCAAAATCACTCTTAATTTATTCTTACTTTATCAATTAATATAAATCACACAAACCCACTTTTCTTAAAACCCGCGCCACCCTCCTCCGGGACATTTAAAAGGGGACGGAGGTAGTATGACTTACAATATTACATCCCTTCTTATATTTGAAGTCCTTGAACTCCACGTTAAGAGCATCTCCAATGCTAAAACGTGAACGGTGCATACGTGCACTACAAGAAATCACACATTTTATGACAAAAATTTGTGTGACACACAAAAATTTGTCATATTATATTAAACAATAACTACAAAATTCAAATTCGTCACGGTAAAATGATTTGTTATGACAATATTATCATCTGTCATTTTTACTCTTGTATTTCGTCACTTATTGATGTTTACTATGACGATAATATTGAATTTGTCACTTAAATTTTGAGCGCCAAAATTTGACACCAAAAATTTGGAGGGAATTTTTTTTATGACAACTTGGACACATTTAATGACGATAACTAGCGTCAAGTAATTTTTTATTATTATGACAAAATCATATTTTGTCATTAATTTTTTTATAAAATAATGACAATATTATTTTGTCATTGATTAACCTTTTGATGACAATGAAATCAAACGTGTCATATTTTAATTTTTAACGAGGTATTTTCTAACAAATTTAAGAGAAAAATTTATAGATGAAAAATTACTATTTGACATATAATGATGTTGTGACCTCGTATTATTTATCATTTTACTTATAATAAATGTATCAAAATTAACTACTCTTAGACTAGACTATGGATGCTTTTACTTGTCCTTGGGGTGATCTCGTAGTTCCTACGGGGTGGACAACAATATGTTCTAGACCAGACCAGATCAGAACAGACCAGCCCAAACTTGGATAGTTATAAAAATACAAAGAGATCAGATATCACCAGATCGAACCAGTTCAGACCAACAAATTACAGGCCAAGTAAGAACATCCTATGACAATTTTTTCCACTAGATCTAGCTTTTGATACTAAACATGGCAAATAAGTCATAATTTTACTTTTTATTAATATATATATATATATATATATATATATATATATATATATATATATATATATATAATATGAGACAAAATAACAACAACAAAAATAATATTCCATCCGTCCCATTTTACCTGTCCTACTTTCCTTTTTGGGATGTCCCAAAATAAGTGTCTACTTTCCTGTTTTGGAAAGAAATATGTGGTCTACACTATTTCACTTTAATATACTCAAATCTCAACCACAACTTTTACTTTTTCAACTATTTCATTAATAACCGTGTCAAGTCAAACTAAGACACATAAAATGAGACGGAGGTAGTAGTATTTATAATAATAATAATAATAATAATAATAATAATAATAATAATAATAATAATAATAATAATAATAATAATAATAATAATAATATAATGGTTGTAGTGTGCCGGCTACGGATTAGTTGGAGTAATTTTTGCAAACCCCTATTGAAGAGGTCATGCTTGTGTAGAGGTTAATTGAAAACTACTAAAATCTGGAAAGAAAAAAAAGCCTTTTGAATCAAATACAACTTTTACTGATGAAGCCTGCCTCTTCGTTGCCATCCCCTTGAACGGGCAAATCCGACAAATTTGTCTTTCGTAACCAAATTTGTCTTTCAATTAACCGATAGTATTTTCCAATCAACTAATCCGGATTCATATACCTACAAAAACAAATCCAATTCGTAGCCAAATTATATCTTCCTTCGATTGACGATTCCAACTGCACCGGAAATTCATGGACGGCTGAGAGTGGCAGAGTGCAGCTGTGGAAGGGCGTTGAAGGTTGGAGGCCGGTCTGCCGTGACTCTCAATTGCTACAAAGGGTAAGGTTAGTAGCGGTAGATTTTAAGCCATTACGATAACTTGAACATGCCATATTAATGTTTTTTGTTTCTGATGCTTTTTTACCCAATTTTTGCTTAAGTATTGACAAAAGACTGCACCAAGCTTGTCGTACCTTGAACTTAATGTTTGTTTTGCCTATACTCTTATCATTATTGAGAGTAATTTTTGGTTAATGTAACCCAAATCTTTGATTTACACCAGATTTTTTAGTTTAATTAATTATAGGAGCAAGGTGAGTTTTTGCATTAAACATATGGTGATTTTTTAGTTCCATTGGGTGGTTTTTATGTTCTAATCCACCCTTAATGTTCTCAATAACAGTAGGGTGGGTGTTCAAATTGACCTATAATCAATATGCCATCTTCTTACAAAATGTCGTGTTCTTACAATTTACATCATATATACCACACATATGTATCTTAGTTTATGGATTGAGTTTCATAGTGGTTGTTTGGATATTCTCAATTAGTATGTGAATATAAGTTGCTGGTGATCCAGCTCTATCATTTGATCAGAGATCTTTTGGTTTATTAATTACAAGAGCCAACCTAGTTTTTGAAATTTGAGTTTAAGTTAGGGTGTTTTTTGGTATTTAACATCTTGATTTGTTTAAAGTGACTATATAGGTAGTTTTAAAATGTAATACTACAAACTCTACGGATTATTTTTACATTTTGAAACTGTCCTACTACATTGGTTTTAATATATTTCTAGTACAACACTACAACATGATCTCCTAAAAACATCATGATGAAATTGTTCAACTTGATTATGTGAAAGATAGACATGTTACTATATTCAAATGTGATTGGTTTGATCTCGGAAAAAGAAAAGAAGGGATACGAAAGGAGGGATATATTACTAGTATTAAAGTGACTAAAACGTGGTATGAAAATGACTCATATATACTAGCTGATCAAGCCAAACAAGTTTTGTACATGAACGATCCTAAATTAGGACGTGACTGGAGAGTTGTGCAACCATTTCAACATAGACATATATATGATGTGCCAGAGAGACAGGACGAAGTGATAAATGTTGATGATGATTCTTCGATGGAAGACGAAGTGTATCAAGAGATTGAAATTAACGATACATTTGAAGTTATCCAAAATGATATACAATCCTTACATAGAGAGGATATACAATCTGAAGACGATGAGGAAACATTCATTTCAAACGAATCAGTTGTATCACGTGCAATTGATATCGATGATGCCCATGAAGAAGATTTAGATGACACTCCAATTGATAGTACTGAATCCTCCCAACAAAGTACTAGTACTGCTTCTGAGTTTGAAAGTGACGATTCTGATGGATAATTTGATGTTGCTTGCTATTCTCAATGAAATGTGGTAAGATTTTATTTGTATTGCATTGTATATCCTTATTTGTTGGCTTACAATATTTCATTCTATTTTTCTTATCTATGTTTTGATTTATAACACTTAGTAAGTACGTAGTATTATGTATTAATTCAAGCTTTTGGTGTTATTCAGTTATTAAGCTGTATATATGTATGTTTATTTGTTTCAAGAACATTACCTAAAGGTTCTGTTTGAGGTTGTTTAGGAATCCTTGCTCAGGAATCAGGACAGCTTCTTCTAGACGACATCTCAGCAATTGTCTTGATGTGATGTTCGTTCCTACACTGCTCTTCAAGTCTCACATAAATTTTGTTGAGAAGAGAAGTTGCTCTGAATATGCAGAATGGTTGGTGGGAGAGTTCTGAATATAGGATTTTATTAAACTTCGTTCATGTAGTTTTTAATGTTAATCTGTATGCAAATTTTAATATCTCATGACCTATTTTATTCTCTGTTTCACAAAGTTTGAAAATACTTAGTTTGTTCAGAAGGATGAATAGCAGGAGCTTGAACAAGTTGAATATTAAACTTTCTTTGAGGTTGACTGTGAACTGATGTTGTCTTAGTGTGTTGCAAGGAAAGTGCAGAATATCCTGCTTATTATGTTTTAGCGCTATTAAGAATGTTTTTACTTGGACTGTAATTTGCCCCAGACTAGATCAGTCCAGACCAAACCAGACCAGTTCAGACCAGACCAGACTTGGATAGTTATAAAAATACAAAAAAACCAGACCTTACCAGACCAGACCAGTTCAGACCAGACCAGACCAGATCAGACCAGCAAATTACAATCCAAGTAAAAACATCCTAAATTGTGTTGGTTATTGTTCTAAGCTCCGATACTATATATTGGTCTGCTTATTAGTTATGGAAAGAGATGGACTGGGACAGATTGGCCCAACCTGGACCGGCCTGACCCGACCTGGACCGTGCCGACTTGGTACTGTGCAGGCATGACTTGACCCGGTCAGTCGATACCGGGGCTGGGGCCCGAATGGGAGAAGTTGGGGTGGGCTACGGGCTAGGGAAAGTGTGAACCGGTCTGGGCCCAATTAGAAAAGCGTGAACCGGTCTAGGGAAAGTGTGAACCGGTCTTGACCCGGTCAGTTGATACCGGGGCTGGGGCCCAATTGGCTGCTAGGTGGGTGGGGCCGGGTGGTTTGGGTGGGTTTGAAGGTAGAGGGTGGGGTAGAATAAATTCGAAAAGACAAAATTTAAAAAAAAAAATCGGGAAAAACGAATTGAGACCGAGAAACCAACCCTAATCCGGATCGAACTATGACCGCTCCGAGTTTTCTTATTTTTGGACGGCCCGAACAAAATTAAACTCAAAATTAAGATATACTAGTATTCATTTGTTTGGGATATCAGCCTCCGCCCCGATACGATCCCAAACATACCAGCAAGGCCCAAATTGGTTTGCAGGCTTTGCAGGCTTCATTGACTGAAGTAGGGATGGACATAATGGTTTGGTTTAACCGAATCGAACCATACCAAACCAAACTAAACTAAATCGAAACTGAACTGTATGCAATTTGGTTTGAGTTTGGTACTATCTCTTCCAAACCGTATTAAACCGAACTGAAACCGATAAAAACCGAATGAAATCGAACCGAACTAAAAAATTCAAAAACACCTTCATATATTATTAAAAATTAACAAATTCAAACTGAACCAAACCGAACTGAACCAAACCGAAAAATAGTATGATTTTTGTTTGGTAATAATTCTTCCAACCCATTCCTAACCGAACCGAAATCAATAAAAACCGAACTGAAAACCGATATACCCAGCCCTAAACTGAAGTTACCGTAGATGACTATTTTAGATATTTTTCATATTTTTTTCTCTATTTTATTAAAAAATACCCGTATATTTTAAATATAATTTTTTTCACAATTCGATCTACCAAAATAAGCCAATCCAACCATCTTGTAGCCTGTTTGGTAATACCCAAATCATCTATATTGGCTAATTCTGCTAAAATTTATAAAGTGTTGGTTGAAGTGGCTGGATTGACTGATGTTCCCTATTTATGAGAAATTATATTTAAAATATACTTCAATAATAAAATGAAGAAAAAATTATATGAAAAACAGCTAAAAAGATCTTTTATAGTAACTTCAGCCAATACAGGCAGAAAAGTAACTATAACCTTACTTTTTGTTAGTATTACTAGTGTAAGAGAATGATGGATTATAGATGTTTTTAATTAAATTAATTTAAGTCAATTTATCGGATTAGATCTAGTGAGACTTAAATAGATTAATTTAGACGAGACTATACTTCGATAACAGTAAAATACAATAAAACAAACATCTATCATATAAGATCAGACATCTATCATATCTTCGATTACAATAAAACCAATAAAACGAGCATCTATCATATCTTCGATTACAGTTCAAAAAAATTATATTAGATCAGACTTAGACAGATAAAAAAATGTACTACCTCAATCCTTTTTTATGTAGCCATCTTTGGCTTTTCCAATCAAAAGTGATAAACTTTGATCCATTATTTTGACTAATATATTTATGTGAAACTTAATAAATTTATACTTTTATGATAACATTTTTAAACAAAGAACATTTTATATAATTTTCATATTATCAATATTACTTCGATAATCGATTAGATAAACATATAATCGATCAAAGTTGAACAACTTATTTTAGAATTTGAGAATATAAAATTAATCCAAAAGTGCACCCATTTCATTCACCACTTAGGGCCACAAATAGCATTAATTCCACTATATTTATCAATTGATTTTAAAGTCAATCCTTTTGCACATACTGGATCTCATTTCTAGAGAATACTCTTCCTCCCCATAGCTCTTGCCTGAACCAAGTTTTTATACTACGTATATCACACCGATTTGTCCTACCCTGCAGCTTCTTTGAACTTTTGAAGTTTTATTGCGATGCAATTTTAAGGAAGATGAGGATACACTTGAAAAGCTCTTCACCAATGGTAATTTTTATCTTCCATTCTTTCCATAATTTGTTAATTATCTATACTAAATCATTAAATATGTAAAAATATACGGGTCTTATTTGAGTTATCTCAAATCTTGTTCTGGTTTTATCGTATTACTCCGCTAATAGGTTTTATTAGTAATTTAAATTTAGCAACGAAATCTTAAATTAGGTTTGCCGCTACTTTTTTATGTTTTGGCGGTCTCCCAAAAATTTACTTTGTATAATAGGATACATATATAATTGAATTCTCGATACTCTTCAGTCTTCACACGATATCTCAACCCTAGTTTTTTACTCTTTCGTGGAGTCTTCTCTTTCAAGGGGCGCTCTTTCGGTAAATTTTCCCAGCAGGTTTAGATATTATATGTCTACGCGTATTGTTGATTGGCTCAGTAAATTAATTGATAATGCTTTTGCCATATTTCTTGTATTATAAGAATTCCTTTTCAAACTACCAGTTTAATTGATACAGAGTATATTTTATTCTCAATAATGTCTGCTCAATAATTGTAAACATATGTTCAAAATTCTTCATCATACTTTGAGTTATAATTTAATACTTGATGTACAGTAGTTTCATTTACGTAGTTTTCATCATTTTTTGTGAAATGCTTTACAAATTCTGGGATTTGAGTTGTTCATTCAATTAATTTCTTATCAAATATGTTTGTTAATTTCACTAGAAAAAATTTATAACTAATAACAATTGATAAGCAATTACAAGCAGGGGTGCCTAAAAATTACAGTGTGTATAAGTTTGTATGTGTGTATACTAGTATGTCTAAGTGGATGTGTATGTGTATATTATGGTGTATGTGCAGTGTGTTTATGTGTATTTGTGCAGTGTGTGTAGATATAACATGTGTTAGTGCATGAGTCTAGTTTTTGCATTGTATCTTTAAGTGCGTGTGTATATTATGATGTATGTGCAGCCTGTGTGTCATTGTATTTGTGCAGTGTGTCTAGATTTAGTTTTAGTTAGCACCTATTTCTGTCTAACTCTTTTATATATGTTTTAGGAATGGCTCCTGGATTTAAAGGTAACCTGAATAGAAAAAACAACTGGGAAAAACAAGATGTTGTGCATCATAATGCTAAAAGTGGTCAAGGTAATTCGACAACTACAAAAGCAACAACCAAAAGACCTCTAGACAAAACACATGTGGCATCCAATGAGACAACATTTAACACTGGACGTCCTCTTAGTCCAAGGCATGGCACTGCATCAAATCAAAATGTTGAACCTGCACCAACTGAGAGCATACGTGGCCAAACACCACAAACAAATGTGCTTGGAGGTATAACACATTTTTGTATATTGAGTAGCTAGAATTCCTGGACCACATTTTTTTTACACTCATGCAACCTCTAATAGAATATACAGATGGAAGTTAAATGTTGATGTATAATTAGTTGTTTGTATGTTTAGTATATGAATCTGATTATGGGAAGAACCAATATATAATAGTTAGGTCATTTGCATGGATGGATGTTCATCAAAAGTATATAGCTATACTGAGAACTTATGAAACTCTATTAAAGTATACTAAGTACTAACTATACTAATCAATTTAATATATTAAACTACTTAATGTGTAGTCAAATAGAATGGAATAGTGGTAAACATGAAAAAAACAGAAAAATAAGAGAGGAAAATAACAAATACAGAGGATGGAAAAAATTGGTAAGTGATGAAACATTAAGCTAAAATACATAATAGATTGTTTTACTTGGCAACTGTTTTTAAAGTGGTTACTGTTTTTAAACAAATGTGTTACAGATTCAACTTCACGTCCTACAAAGCGAGTACGTGGTCAAACGATGGGCAAGGGGATCATGAAGGCATATGCTTTGTCTAAGACTAAACTGAAGATCCAGTAATTGGAAGGCCTCAAAACCCTGAAGAGTCGGCAAAGCTTTCAAGCCAAATTGGTATAATTACCCGTGATGTGCTCCCTGTTCCTAGAAGGTGGAAAGAAGTAGATGAGGAAAATGGATTGACTCCTGGATTTGATCATATGCAGGTATGTATCTTTAAAAATGAGTTAGTTATTTTTACTTTGCTTGTGATGTGAAAAATGCTTCCAAAAAATGCAAATGCATATGGTTGTGAATGTTGATGATGTGGGTGTGAAAGAAAGCTTGATTGAAAGGCTGAAATCTAGTATGCGACAAAAACGTTACAGGCTACATCTTCAGTACAAGAAGTTTAAAACTCTGGAATTGGCTAAAATCAATAAGCCGACTTTTTATCTTGACCAAGACAATTGGGAATTGTTGTGTGACTTTTTTGCATCAGAGAAATTCAAGGTGATAACCTCAAACATAAGTGACTCTTTATACTGCATGCATATTATATATACTAAATATGTTACATTACTTCGGGTTGAAATTAAAATTGTTTAAAATTTTGGTGTTGTTTGTGGGAATGCAACACCAAATACTCATTGTAATTGTAACGTGTAGAAATCAAGTATCGCGAACACGGAAAATAGGAAGCTGGTGCGAGCACCACATATTTCAGGCAGAAAACCTTTCACAGTTCGACGACTTGAAATAGTAAGTCCTTGTATACATATCATTTTCATCCATTTTGGCTATATATGTTCACAATTGTTGCTACTGGTGTGTTATGTATCAAGGCAATCTGTTATATAGTTTAATTTAATCTTCTTTAATTTGTTTATTTTTACTTATAGTAACTTTTTGTATTTTTTCCGTAGTCTGAGCAAGAGTTAAATGGAGATTCTTGTGATCGGATTGAGTTGTATAAACGAACTCATTTTACAGAGAAAAAGGGCTGGTCATCTAAGGTGGCAGAAGAAAATTGGGTAAGTTATGGATGCATTTTTCATCCTTATTTTTTACACAACCAACCTTTCATGTGACCAGAATTAATGTCATTTATGTCATCGCTTTATTCATTTAGGAGTTGATGAAAAAGAAACAAGAACAATATAAAGAGGAAGGATCTGATAAGAGCACAGATGATATAGTTCTTGAAGTTCTTGGTCATGGTTCTGGATACATTAAAGGCCTCGGGTATGGTCCTAAACCTCCAAGCAGACGCAACGGTGCAAATCCTTGTGTAACTCAACAACTCCAGAAAGAGCTTCAAGAGACACAACAAAAATTACTAATGTCTGAAACACAAGTTGATGGTCTTAAAGTTCAAGTGGAAGATACCGAGAAAGAGGTGTTTGACTTAAGAAATGAATTAGCTCAACAAGCTTCAAAAATGGAGCAGCAAGCTTAAAAAATGGAGCAGCAAGCTTCAAAAATGGAGAAGATCATGGCATTTATGGCAAATCAAGGAATGGATTTGTAATCTTTAGTTTTAATTTGTGATTCCATATATGAACGATTAGATAGCTCTGAAGTTATTTAGGTAGTCAATTGCTTTATTTGTCTCTTACCTCAATATCTACACGTACACTCAGAGTCTTTTGATATTTTTATTGTTTTAGCATTAATACAATTTCTTTATTTAACTACACTTATTAATAAAGACGGTTTCTTTGTTTATTAGATCTATTGCATATGTGTTTCGATTGTGACAATTTATTTGCCACCATCCATATTTTGAATAATATTTTAAATTGTCATTATACATCCGCATATCATAATTCATCACGATTACTTCAGTAGTGGTTATATTAATATATTGACATTTGACACTTTCGTCATCATAAATTTTTTAAATGACAGTTTATTTCACTCGAAGTTTTGTCACGTTTGATAGTAATATTCACAAAAAATATGATTGTCACTACAAATGATTCATCACCGTACATTCATATTTTATGACTATTAATTTCGTCAAAAAATCGGTGTTTTACCGACAATGCATTTTTGTCATTATTTCATTTCTTTTTTATGACACTATATATTGTCGTCACAAATAGTTATTAGTGACGGAAAATTTTATAACTAAAAAGTGCTAATTAATGACAAATTTTAATAACTATGACGAAATAAGTAACTTTATTGTGACAACTCTATTGTCACTTCAAGCCCAAAATTTAGAGAATATATCGAGAATCGTCACTTTAAATTATGTTTTTATTTACAATTTAATATGTTGTCATTAATTGTGTTAACTATTGATGACAAATTTCCTATTTAGGTGACAAATAAAGTTATGTAAACGTGACACATTCAACGTCACAAAAAGTGATTCATAATGGTGACAAAGCTTTAAAACGTCATTAAAAAATATGTATATGGTGACGAATCAAAAATGTGTCATATACACCTAATACCACGCAACTACGGTGACGATCATTGTGACGCTCATAAGTCGTCATATAAAATCTATAGTGACAAATAATGAATTTTATATGACAAATATTTTTGTCATATAATGCCAAGATTCTTGTAGTGGTGGCATGAGAGATAGCCAATTAAAAAATAATAAATAGAATATCTCTCTCCTTATTTGAAGGATCTTGTATCATTTTGATATGTTTTTCTTCACAATGTCAAGCACAATGTCTAGATGTAGACATTGTGCTTGACATTGCAGAGGAAAACTTACCAAAAACACATAAAACTGTGGAAAGAATGAGAGAGAAATGTCATAAATTCAATTTTTTGTGTCTATCTCTCTCATGCCACATGTGCACCGTGCATATTGTAGCATTGGAGATGCTCTAAGATCTTCCTCGAAAAAAATCCGTTTTTCCATTATTTGGTAAAGAAAGTCTTAAGTTTTAGTCTACTTCCCCATGTAATTATAAGCTAATTTCCAATTCAACTCTATGTAGCTCAAACTATGCTCCTTAAAAGATGTACGTAGTGAATATTTGTTCTTATTCATTTGTTTATTACTAATATAATCTAACATACTTTTAATTTCTTGAAAATATATATTTGAAATATAATCGACGTCCTTATTTATAAAACTTTTTTATAATTGTGTTAATAAAAAAGTACTACGTATTTGTCAACAGATTGACAAACCTTGCAATGTTTTAATAATGTCAGTTGAGCAATTCAGGGAAGTAGTGAGACACTTCTTTATTGTATCATTCCCTGAAAAGGTCCATGTTACCTGAAAATTAATGAATATATATCAAGCATTAAAAACAGCACAACCAATATACGAAGCACATATGAATTGAAGAATCAGACACACACAAACAAATTGTGACCTGAACCGTATCAAATGCGGACATCAGGAAGAAGATGGGCGTTTTGATGTGTTCTTGTACATTTTGAGGGAAGAAACACTGTAAAAATCACAAGGACTTTAATTAACAAACGAGAATGACTTTATTTGATGCATTAATTATGTTTAGCTAGTTTAAAAGATAATGCATCAAATATAGTAATTATTTGAAAATGTACTGAGAAGCAATATAATTTGAAGAATGAGCAGGAGGTTTTTTTCTTCATTATTTTAAAAAAAAGGATTGAAGCTATATTACCAGATATGGACTCATTCTGGATGTGCATTCTTCGGGCAAGGCTTTAATTGACCCCTGCTTCGAGTATAGATACAAATTAAACAATTACAGCTCTTCTCTACAAATAAATATTCAAACGACTACAGCTTTACTAGTATATGAATATATATATGTATAGTTCAATACACACGAAGGTAGTAATAAATGCATTTGCACTGAAAAAGCAATCTGAAAAGTAGACAACTTATTTAAAGTGAGCTTGTAATTAGTAAAGATAGTACGCATTACATGTGCCATTAGTCCTTGAAAAGTTTGAGTGAATATTTCTCCATGCCCATACTTTTTCCTGCAAAAAATTATGAATGATGAGCCTATGTTTGTCACATTTATTCCGTTCTATACAATTCATTTATTACGTTTTTCAAATTAAGAAAAAATTAAAGAAGATATATAAGCGTATACGTAGTATATAGATCATACTCCCTCCGTCCCAAAATTACCTTCATAGTTACTATTCACATGATCAACTCAAATTACTGTTAATCTTTTACTTTATATATCAAATTTTTATCAAACTTAAATTTTCTTGATCAGGCTTTGTAGCGGTTTTAATGTAATTTCTGAATATGTAAATTTTATTTACTAAAAATAATCCAAGTGTGAACAGGGATCGAGTTGCTTTATCGTCAGTCAAGCATCGTAAACCGAACTATGAAGATAAATATGGGACGGAGGTAGTATTTATTTATTTGATACTTACGAAGGAAAAAAGTATCCAGCATCAGACAAACATTTTACTCTGGTAGCGTGCGATAAAAGATCATGAAATCCATCACAATGTAGCGTCACCGCCACTCCTCCCGCTGAACCGCCTACTAAGGAGGTGTTTACTTCACTGCTAAAGTCACAATTAGGTTAGTAAGACAGGTGAAGTAAACACTCACACTGCTTAAAAAGCCGCTTACTAACCGAAAGAGGTGCTTAAAGTGCCGCTTATTAAGCATACCACCCCCCCATGTATTAATTAAGCGGCACTTTAAGCTTTTTCAGTTTCCGAATTTACCCCTTGCCCGTAACCTATTGTTATCCCTGCCCCACCTCGACCCCAACCCCACCTACCCCGACCCCACCCTACCCCGACCCCACCCTACCCTTACCCCACCTACCCTTACCCCACCCTACCTCGACCCCACCCTACCTCGACCCCACCCTACCTCGACCCCACCTACCCTACCCCACCCCGACCCCACCCCCGACCCTACCTAACCGACCCCCACCCTACCCTTACCCCACCTACCCTGACCCCACCCTACCTCGACCCCACTTACCCCACCTACCATACCCCACCCCGACCCCACCCTACCTACCCCACCCCTACCCTACCTAACCGACCCCCACCCTACCCTTACCCCACCTACCCCGACCCCACCCCCACCTCACCTACCCTTACCCCACCTACCCCACCCCGACCCCACCCTACCTACCCCACCCCTACCCTACCTAACCGACCCCCACCCTACCCTTACCCCACCTACCCTGACCCCACCCTACCTCGACCCCACCCTACCCCACCTACCCTACCCCCACCCTACCCTTACCCCACCCCACCCCACCCCTACCCTTACCCCACCTACCCTACCCCACCCCGACCCCACCCTACCTACCCTACCTAACCGAACCCTACCCTTACCCCACCTACACTGACCCCACCCTACCTCGACCCCACCCTACCCCACCCCGACCCCCCTACCTACCCCACCCCTACCCTACCTAATCGACCCCCACCCTACCCTTACCCCACCTACCCCGACCCCACCGGCCTATGGGGTCGGGGGGTAGGGTAGGGTGGGGACAGGTTAGGGTGGGGTCGGGTAGGTAGGGTGGGGTCAGGTAGGTAGGTTAGGGGTAGGGGTAGGGGTAGGCGGTGGGTGGGGTCGGGGTAAGGTAGGGTGGGTAAGGGGTTAGGGGTATGGGTACACATATTATATTATATACTTGTGTTCATGAATGTTTGTGTGTATATATATGTATAGGGTTATTTTGGACATTTTAATGTTAAGCGGTGTTTTAAACCGTTTGAAGTAAACACGGTCTTACAACATTGTTTATTTTATGCGCCGCTTATTAACACGGGTCTTAATAAGCACCGTTTAATAACCGGTGAAGTAAACATGTCCTAAGAGAGCCTAAATAGTAGAGAGTGCATATTAGTAACATTCGTGCATGGTATAATCACAAATAATATGTCACTATCTAATTTTATATTTATGGACCTAACTACTCCCATGCTAGCTCATTAATTAAAGTTCCACTTTGACTTTTACAACAAACTACATGAACTTTGACCATGGAATTGAATATTAGAGTAGACTAATATGCATGTGCACAGTGGGGGTCTGGGGGACAATAGTATATTTGCAAATTGCAATAAATTGTCATATGCTTACATTTTTCGCCGTTGTCATTCCCAACTTGTAAAGCAACTCATGCATTACTGCTTTGTATATGCGTGCGCCTCTGAAATAGATCTTGGTGCCCTGCATTAAAAAATTACCGTCTTATTTGCCATGTTCACTTAATTAATTATACACGATCAAGCAATATAATTAAGAATCAGACATGACAATTTAAGTATAACCCAAAGCTAAAATAATAATAAACATAATAATAATAATAATAATAAAGATGATGATGATGATGATGGTATAATAACAACATTACTCCGTATTAGATATCACGTATTAAGTAATACAGCGTACTACATACTACGTATGTACTATACATTGTACTCGTAGACTTTTTGTGAGTCTGACGTGAAAGATGAACCATCACAATACCAAATCACAGCTCTGTTCCAGTTGAAGAAATCTATTCATGAAAATTTTTACAACATAAATTGTTAATTAGTCACGCAATTAAATATATAACATGTATGAATTCAAATTAAATTAATTAATTAAGTAACATACTTTTCTCTTCTTATTTAGCTGCAATAACCTCTCATTCATATTTACCAGTAAACACACTAAAAAATAATATAATTACTTACCTATGAGTACGTGAAAATTAAAAAAAATACACACGACTAGATCAATTTAATTGACAGTATTTTTCATAATGTAATTTGTTACCTAGGTACGTAGTAATAAATAATAAAGTGTGGACAAATAGCTTGGGGTAATCAGAATAAAATCAAAGTTACATTATTGAAGCTAAAAAAATGGGTGTAGCACAATAAATCGTCACGCATAATTTTAGTAGATAATATATTAATTACCTGGATTCTCCTCTTTTTTTTTGCTCAGGATGTCTTTAAAGGAGTACGGCTTGGGATCTAGGGTAAGATTTCTAGTGTGAGCATATGCAGTTGCACAATATTCCGGCAAGTTGCACCATGCTCCTCCCTGAACACAGCCGGCCAAGTAAATTAATTATACTAAATCTGTAAATCATACTCCGTAATTTACAAACCTGTGGTTATAATTTTTTTTATTCATCATGTACTTCACAAATCACAATTACTTCTAATTACTTGGACAGTTGGTCATGTATATACTACAAAAAGAAAAACTTCGTTTTAAGCTTGAATTTTGACTTGGACGAAGTCCTTCAATTCACACATATGGAGTGGATTTTGGCACGGTAACATATCCCGGACTAGACAAGCTAAATGTACTCACAAAATTTATCTTATTCTGAGGTTATCTAGGATTATACACCGTATTATTTATATATATTTACCTCAAGATACACAAGCCAATTGCGCACTCCATCACCAAATCCATGGTCGAAGTAATATGCTGCTGGTTTTCCCGTCAAGCAGACTTGTACGTAAGTTGTAACAACGTAACAAATTATCATTTCTCAAAATTAAAGTTGTGTTATCTTTGAATTGGTCTAGTATGCACTTATGTGAATTAAGGAAAAAACCGCTATTGAAAAAAAAACTACTATTAGTACATAGATAGATAGATAAACTTATTAAATTATTTTAATTACCCGCTTCAGGATCACTCCGTACCAAAGTCGCATTCACAAGGAACTCATCATCAGTGCCTAAAAAATGAAATTCATCACTGTTCACTGTTAAAAACCATATATATTAGTGACCCAAAAGTAAGAAATTATCAGAAACAGATAAAGGTAAAGCATAACGTAACCCATATATATTTCGACAATGTAAATATATATACAGAGTAGCTAGTAGCTAGTTACCATCACATTTGATGAGGAAAAAGGACACAAATAACAGCGACTGTAATATCCCAAAGAACGACATTTTCAACTTCAGTTTTCAAAATATTGAACACTAGCTAGAGATCAGATTAGTTTGAAATCAGGGAATGAGATATTTGAGGGCTCTGAAAGGGTGATGGAGAGGTTTGAGCTAAGAGTGTACTATATATATAGACACATGAGCATACAAGAGTGTGGTGTCAATTGACACCACTCAAATTTTAATTATATATATAAAGGTATATTCTTTTAAAAAATTAATTTGACACCACCTATATAAATGGAATGATTATCAATTGACACCACTCAAATATTTTTTGTAGTTATATATAAAGGTATATTTTCTAATATTCAATTTGATAACACCTATATTAACAAAATGAGGGTCAAAATATAAATATATATGAAATAATTACATATTTATAACTAAAATAATAGTTATTTACAAAACGTGATGTCTTAAGTGTAGTGGATACATTAGAAACTTTGTTATAGTAACTTATTCCAATTTTTACACTTAGGAGAACATGACACCGTACTATAGTAACATTTAATGATATTTTGTAAATAATTTTATTTCAAAAATACTTTAAAAAAAGTCTAAATATATTTATTTAACTAAAACAAAATTACATGTAATGAAATTTAGCCATGGTTAATATCTTTTACACTTTTCAATAAGTGATGCACTATAATATATATTCAAGACAAATATAACGAAGCTTGAATTCAAAACTTGACAAAAGAACTTGACAAATTATTATGTTGACTCTAAATTTATATAAGATAATGTGTAACATAAAATCTAGATAGTCATTCTTTCACACATGTAATATTTGATAAATTTATTATCATATTGTTACTTTGTAATTTAGCTATATTAAAAATTCTTATCAATATATAAAGTGCTTGAAAGTACCAACGATGAGAAAAATGTACAATATTTTAAAGGGAACATAATGTTAGATAATACCAAACTATCACAATTTAAGAATAGTGAAACAAATCACATTAATAAATAATTAATTCATTCCCAACTATTCAAATATATATATATATATATACACACACACACACACACACACAAAGTCAAATACATATATAAGAGATCAAATATAAACCTCATAATTTACAAACTATAAACTAATCTTGACGATCTGATTAGTTTATCTAAAGGTTGTATATTCACGGTGGTTTTTTGGTATTAAAACCAAAATTTTGGGTCAAGTAATTGAAAAAAATGTATACTCATCAGTACAGTTTTTAATATCGTGTCATAGAAGTAGAATTTAGCTTAAAAAATTGACACCACTCAAATGTATCGTTGGCTCCGCCACTGCACATGACTACATGACACATCATATCACACATGCGAAATTAATGTACTATAGTTCTTTTCTAATGCGAAATGATGTACTCCCTCTGTATTTGAAAGAACCATACATTAGGTTATGACACAAGATTTAATGAAGAATAGTATGAGTAATGAATACTCCCTCCGTCCCATTTATATTGTCCCGTTTTACCTTTTCGGGAAGTCCCACTTAAATTGTCCCATACCATATTTCGCAAAGTTTGTGTGGCTCTAAATGTGACCCCCGTATCAAGAGTTGGAAAAGTGATACATAGGGGTTGTTGATTAAGATTCGGAGCTGTGAGCTCCCTCAACGTTCTTGTTTCATTAGCCATAGATATTGGCTCTTCGTTCTCGCTAGATTGAGAACTAGCACTTGATGATTCTCCCGAGTCGGAGTTTGAGAATTTGTTTTTCAACCGCTCGAGAGTTTGTTCTATTTCAGGGTTTGATTGGTAGGTGATTTCGTTCAGTGAACGATATTTTACCATATACTACAAAGCTCAGAAGAAATAGAAATCTTTATACTTAAATACTATATTTTTTTTCTTTTTCTTTAAAATAAAACAAAAAGAAAAATTAATTGCCTTTCCCCAGCTACGGCGCCAAATTTGACGCGCACTTTGTCGTAGTGCATCAAAATAAATTCAATACTAGCACTTATACGTAGTATAGTGAAGTAGAGTTCGTATCCATAGGAAAAGGAATAATTCTCTTTTTATGAAACTAGTAAATAAAAGGGGGGGTTTGGGATTGTTTGATTTAATTTAATTGAACACTAAAATGAACAAACTATATGATTTTAATTAATGAGATAAAAAAAACTTGGTTTTGCTACTTTCCACTTGTTGATATATTTAGTCGATCCTTGTTATATCTATAACTTATCCCCTCTCGAATACTCAATCGAGGAGTATCAATTATCTCCAATTCATCGAGGGTAGTTATTAACAACGACCGTTCATTAATAACTCTTACTATTATTCAAGTATAGAACACCACCATATACCGACTTGATAGTAGCATTTAATCTCTTAACTCCTTGATAAAATCAATTGAGATTGATAACCTCAGCACAACGGTTTCGGGTTAACCAACAAAATTAATCCCTCTTAAGTTTATTAACCACGACCGCGCATTAATAAATCGAAGTTACTTACTTATGAAACCATCAACAATTAACCATCGGTTCGTTGATTGTTTCTAGTAGTAATTAATGTCGAGATGTTAACTAATTGTCACCTTAGCAACACTCCCCAACATTAATATAAAGATAGATTAAGAGAAGAATTAATATTCAAGGGAAGAAGTTAAGAAAATAACTCACAACTTTAATAATCAACAAGCTTCAAGAGCAACACCAAAAAATGGAAGTTTAGCTCCTCATTTGAAGACTAAACATGATATAAAAATATAAAAGAAATACTATTCTAAATTGAGCTTAAGAGTATGGAAGAAGGAGTGATATTATTGTGAATGAAAAGGGGTGTATTTATAGGTGTTTGGAGGTGGCACAGTGGTGTACCCGACCGGGTATATAGGGTACCTGATCAGGTATTTTAGGCAGTTTCCCGGAAAATGACTTTTTGGGACATACTCGGTCGGGTATGTTGGCATACTCGGTCGGGTATGAGCCAAAAAGTCAAAATACTGCACGTTCTTTTGTCTCTCTAGATTCTGATTTTGACACCCGAATCAATTCAATACCTGATCGGGTATTGCCTATACCTGACCGGGTATATGAAATATTTTTTCAATCTTCTTTTTATCTTGTCCCCTTGCATTTTCCTTGATCTTTTGGGGTCCAAACTTGATCCTTTGGATGATCTTGACCTGTTTTAAGCTCAGAATAATCCTAATCTAAACAAATTACATTTATCTAAGAAAATTAACTAATTACACCAAAAGTGTGTAATTTTCCAAACAACAACAAATAAAACTAGTTAAAATAGAAATAATACATAATAAAAATACAACTCTATCATTAACCCATGCAAATAGCGTCGTTTGATAGTAAAGTGATAGACTGATAGCTACTCATATTTACATTTAAATTTATATATACATTATACTTATATTTATATTTTATTTAGGAGTAATTTGAGTTTGCACCTCATTGTATTGTTCAATTTGGACTTTGCACCCCGTTTGTAAAAAGTTTTGTTTTTGTACCCTAATCCCGTATGGAAAGACAAAAATACCCCCTCATTAAGAACTTTGATGGCCTTCTACATATTCCGGGATCATTTTTGTCTTTTCAAACGAGATTGGGATGCATAAACACAATTTTTTTAAAAAGGGGTGCAAAGTCCAAGTTAGACAATAATATGGGGTGAAAACTCAAATTACCCCTTTTATTTATAAGTCCAATGTCTTGAAATACTTTATAAATTGCACTAGTAAAGATATTAGCGAATTCTCATTAGAGCCTTTTACAGGTTTCGTAGGTTTGTCAGACTTGGCTTTTGACATTGTCTCCATGTATCAATAGTGTTGAAGTAGATTACTTCAATATCATAATCTCCATATCGCATCCCAGTTTATCATTCTCGAGATCCACCCAGTGGCGGAGCCAGACATTTATGGTTAAAGGGGTCGGTCCTTAAAAATTTTATATTGCAGGGGCAAAAATTTAAAATATCAATATACTTTCTACAGATTAAAAGTATTTATACATAATATATACTTAAGATTTTTTTTTCTTGCAGGGGTCATGGCCACCTTCAGCCAGGGGCGGATCTAGTATTTGCGTTGAGGTGGGGCCAAATTTCAATTAGCGATACGCCGATACGTAATTTATTTTGCAAAAAATGTTAAAATTACAAGATTTAGTTATATAATTTTACAGAAGTGTCAAAGAAAAAATAATAAATATTACAAAACCGAAAATTTAATTATCTTAAAAGAGCCATAGATATCTAACCGAAATTGGCTTGTGTCGGTTAATGACGCGTTCAATACCAATTTTCAAATTGATTTCTCGAAAATCAATTTTCTTTTGACTCCATAGTCTATGCTCTATGTAAAAAGTAAACTAATTAAATTTCACCTACCAAGCAGAATGAATTGAACTTATTAACTTTGCAAAACAATATTCAATTGTCCAATGATGTGAACTAATTAATTATTTAGACTAATATTCGAAATTCTAATGAATCGAATTAATTACTTTTTCAAGCTAATATTCAAAAGCCAAATGATTTGAACTATATATATTTTGCAGACCAATTACCAAAAGCCCAACGATTTGGATAGTGTATCAAAAAATTTACTCATGTTGCATTGAAAAATTATAAATATGGTGCCCAGGGGACTCAAACCTGACTCCTTTGGTTGCATAATTAGTGTGCTTCCATTAGACCAACTTGACTGATGTTAACAAATTGACATTCGCTTTTTTTTATATCATAACTACTAAAACACTATATATTAATATATACATAGTATATATATACAAATAATTATATTTTTTTGAGCATGGGCCTAGGCCCACCCTGGCCATGGGCCAGATCCGCCCCTGCCTTCAGCCCCTCCCTGTCTCCACCCTTGGATCCACCCAATACCAAAAACATTCTTCTCCCGGGTTTCTAATCTCAGGGCAACAATTGGGAAAAGGAAGCGTCGCGGGTGGAACACGTCCATTATTTCCATCATTTTGAATATACTGAAGCAAGAGTTTCTAACATGATGAAAACGGTTAGCAACACAAGAGGGGGGGTGAATTGTGTGTGTGTGGAACCGTGGCAGTTTTTCGCCGAGTTCTAGTGTGGGATAAAGGGAATTGCGAAATA